AAGAGAGAGGAAGGGGAGAGACAGAGAAAGCGAGAGAGAACGAGAGCAAGAGGGAGAGAGAGCGAGGGGGAGAGAGAGAGGGGGGAGAGAGAGAGAGAGAGAGAGAGAGAGTGAATTTAGCGTCTTAACATGGTCAACCGCGTCAGCCGGTGGACTGTGCGCGGCTCGGTGCGAGGGAAGGTTATTGTTTTGCATGCTTTTGCATGTGCAAGTACGCGGGCTTGCGGCCGGGCGGTTTTTTTCCAGCCACAAACCCACACCTTTCGAGAGACTCGCGCGCCTTCAGCCCTGCGCGCCACGTCCTCGGGTACCTCATCGCTTGCGCCAAGCAAGCCGCCAACGTGGCGCGGCTTGCTTGCCCACTGGCACGGTTCCACCCACACACGTCTGATCGTGCTATAGGTGGCCTATTCTATATTAAACAGTATGGTAATACACCTACGGGGCGAAAAATGAGTAACAAGGATACCCGAGCACTGCCTTGTTATTATGCAATAACTTACCACCCTTTCCTACGCTCTCCTTTCAGTCCCCCAACCCCCCTCGTGGCGGCGGAGAGCGCGCGCGCGCGCGCTCACATTCTCCGCCCGTCCCGTGTACGCGAGTATTCCTCGAAGCGTCGGGCTACGTAAAGCAAAGAGAGGAATACAAACTAAATGTGTTTTATGGGGCGAGCAACGTCTCTATCACATCGTCGACTGAATATGCATGCGGGCCATGCATGCACAACGCATAATCACGAACGTATGTCGAGTGATGGTGCAGTAATTGGACGTCTTGAGAAGGAAGAAAGCGCGGGGAGCAGAAGAGGGGGGCAGGGGAGAGACGCAGGGGCAAGACGCTGTGTTCGACAAACGGCACGCCGCCAAGGAGGTGGTGGTTCATGGTGGTAAGAGTAGATTGTTCAACGACTTTTATCCGCGGTGGTCGAGAAGTCGCGGAAGGCACGCAAGATCAATCGTCACGCCGACGATGAACGAGGCGTCGGATCGCACGCGACGACCCGGTTCTTTCGGAACTACTCCGTTCAGCTCCGAAGAGACTGAGAACCCACCACCACCGCCACCACCGCTGCCACCGCCGCCAACACTAGCACAGCAACACCCCATCATCCCACGCGCAACGATTAGCGCGACGTCGACAGGTGAATTGTATTTATCGCGCGCGTCCACGAAATTTCGATAAGGGGTCTCGCTATAATTCTCTCCACGGAATTTATCCCGTATGACGAATGCACGAATACGCTCTCCGCCACCGCCGCGCGCTTCCCTTATCGATGCACGCAACTGCAACGAACGGAACGATCAGATCTCCGCGAATACTTTAAGGCGCTTGCTACCGTGCCAGCGGATGATTCGAAAAATGAAAGCGAGTCGCAAACAAGCGCGCGTTGAAGCTCGCGCACGCTTCGAGCTTCATTGTACTCCCGAGGAAATCACTGGCGCCCTCGGGCTCGCTCTCGTGTAACGCGACACGTCTCGCTAATGAGCGAATGAAAAAACGTTACGGGCTCGCTCGCGGCATCGCCGCGCGTTCGCGTTCGCGCGCCGGCCGGCCGGTGCTTAACACGCTCGAGAACTTGTTTAAACCGGCGATCCCTCAAGCGGCTCTTATCTATCCGCAAATTCCGGCCCTCATTACGGCCTATCGCGATTTAATAAAGGGGGAAGTTAGGTAAACGAAAGCCTTTAAGTGTAATTGCTAGCCCGGGCAACGCGATAGCCCGCCCTATCTCTAATAATACGACTGTCGTGCATCAAAGTTGTTGCGCGCGAGTAGCGATTCCGATCTCCGAGATGCCGAGGCCCGTGACGAGCGCGCGCACCTTCGTCGGATCTTCGCCGGGGTGGCCAGCCTGGCCAGGTGGCTATGGTAGCCGAGTAGGCAGCTTTACTTCCGAGATTCCAGCGAGCCACCCTCTATTCACAACCACCACCACCACCACCACCACCGACCACGGTCATTTAACGCGCGCACCGTCCCGTCTGCGTCGCAGCGTTCCGACGCCACCTCGACGGCTAGAATCCGCATTGACGGGAAAACGGTAATTTCCAAAGCGACGGGGATAATTGTACAATTACGTACGGTGCGCCACGTTCTCAGCCGAGCTCTTCCTCCTCGTGCGCACGCGCGCGCGCGAGTTGCACTTCTGCGAATAGATCGGTCGGGCGAGAGAGTGGAAGGTAGGAAGTGAAGAGAAGAGAAGAGGGTGATTCGCGGAGGAGCCGGAGAAGTTGAAACAGAAAGCTGTAGAGAGAGAGAGAGAGAGAGAGAGAGAGAGAGAGTCAGACGGAAAGTGAATGAGAAAGGGGTGGAGCGCGACGAAGGGCGCGAGAAGGTTACGAAGGCGTGAGGGCAATTAAAAAGTTTGATTACCTTGCGACGAGTCATGTTGAACTCACGGCTGCACCCCTTGCATTGGGTGACCATCCGATCGTTCGCCCAGGCAACCGATCCTTCTTGCAGCGCCGACTGCTGCTGGTGCTGCTGCTGCTGCTGGTGCTGCTGCTGCTGCTGCTGCTGCTGCTGAACGTTGTCAGCGGCCTCGCGCAGTTCGGCCGCCGCTAATTTGGCCATGCTCAATTGTCCCCCAAGTTCCTCCAGAGTTCGTTCCTGCTCGCTGCACACCTCCTTCAGCGCGTAATACTCCTCCTGCAGCGTCAAGTATCTCTGGAACAACGGGACATCCCGGCGTCGCGATTATCCGGCGTGTATTTATTCGCTCGTACGCTGCCACGATTAACGGGGAACAGCCTGACTGCCGAGAATTTCGTCGGTGCGATGAACGCGTGAGCGTACTAATTTATTTATTAATCTGTTGCCCCGTTCGCACAACGGTGTTACTCGAGTCGATACGCGAGGTCCACGCGAGAAACGCTTTTTTTAAATAAACCGATTTAGTTTGATCGCGCGTTTTTCTTTTTTTCGCGCTGTATTTTCTCGCATTTTCTTCTGAAAAATCGATTTCATGGAATATTTTACATTCCTTCGATTCTTTTTGCCCCAATTCTTTTGTCGCCCTGATTATTCAGATGACGTCCACGTTATCGTGCAACAGCTTAATGCGACGCGCTTCGATAGTCGGACTTTCAGCTTCACTTTTCACGCCCGTCGGGAGCGACATATTTTTATGCTCCATACATTAACCGCAGTCATTATATCCAAGTGCACCCGGCGGATGCTGTTGCTCCATATTCTAGTTGAAATTAACTTATTCTTGCTCCCAACCATCAAATAGTACGTACGCGCAAAGACGCGAGATACGCAAAGACGAAAATCCGGTGGTTGGAATAAATTTCATTAATCTATTTCAGGTCGCCGCACCGCGGCACTTACTGTCGTTTCTATTATCGAAGGATGGATAAATCTCCGCAACTGCCGTTTGCCGATTGAATTAGGTGCAGGCTTATAATCCGCGCTGGCAGGTTTCGAGATGAGATTTAAATAGAAAGATCGAATCGCGCGTCGCGTCGCGTCGCGTCGCCCGTGCTACCCCTGTAACTCCCTGTAACTCGACGTCGCAGCGGAACTTACAAGGGGGCGGCGGCGGCGGCGGCGGCGGCGGCGGCGGCGACGGCGACGATAACGTTAACCGATGAGATTTATTCGTCTGTAGTATGCTTAAAAGGCAATACAGATCGTAGCTTACGTACGTACCTCGGACACCCGTTTCAGCTGATCGATCTCCTGATGTAATTGAGAGATCTTCTCCGTGTTACAGATCGATGTTTCCTGCAAGGAGGTTCTCCATTCGCGCTCGAGTCGCAATTCCCTCTCGACCCCATTCGTCCGCGCTTCCCTCTCAGCGGCCTCCGCGTCCAGGACTCTCACCCTCTCCTCTGCGCCCGATCTGACGCCATCGATCTCCTTGCACCTGATTAAGTCAAATCGCTGATACTTAAACGTAGAAGACATAAAACCCTCGTCTACGCCGCTAGAAGCCATTTCGTTCAATTGGATCGACGATCTTTAACTCATACCTCGCGCCGGGATTACGTCAGGATCCTGGATAAATGTGGGTGTAATGACGCGTGACGCTATATCTGAAACGATGATCCCGCTCGCTCGGTACAAAAATATCGCGCGCGATATCGATGGCTCGTCATAAATTTCCTATTGGTGGGACGCGATTCGCATTTCACGTTTTCGCACTAATTATATCAACTTTATATTAATTCATCCGGATATGAGACGCAGACACCTCGACGTTGTATATTTAGTTGGCTATAATAAATTTGACAGATCGTACTGCGTGCACTTCTCTCTCTATCACTTGAGACCAATTTTATTAAAGATAAATCCTACATTATCAATACCGCATTTTTCTAAATAAATAAAAGCGCAAGAATAACGCATTTAAGGAACTGCTTTGCGATCGCATTGTTAAAAATGGTAAAGGATTTGAATGATTATTTTTAAGTATGCATGGCATAAATTATCGTATTTTTAAGATTAACAATCTAGCAACGGGAACGTCAATTATCGAGTACTAACGAATTTACTTGATATAAATCTTTGCGCGTAAATTGTACATTAGGAGAATATATTAAGAGAACACGCCAGTTCGTGGAACTTGTTGGAAGTTTATATTTCGACATTGTTTTAAATTAACCGATATCACTCTAATATATTACTTTGATATTTAATATAACCGACGGCCTACGGTATATATTACAGTGACCGAATGTTTGACGAAATAAAAGTATGCATAGCTGCTATTTCATGTTCCTGCATTCGCGTATACAAATCTATTAAACGAGAAAGCAGCAAAGCCATTTACATAAGTAATTTACAATCTCACTAGTGATATTGCAAATGTATGTGCATAACTTACCTTACGATTCATTATCGTATAATCAGAGAATGACCGTACGAAAATAAACGTATAAAAAGAAATGGAAAAGAAATAAATTACCCCGCGACTATGATATTCTAAATTGGCGAGTCGCGACATCTTACGTCTAGTCGCCGATGAATTTGGGGTAAACAAACGCATACTCTTTTCTGTCATGAGTTTATTTTCGTAGCGTTGGTACAAGCACACGTAGTGTCAGAGTGCGTTATAATGTCCACTGCGCGAGGCTTATACGAGTACATTGTGTACGTACGTGTGTGTGTGTGTGTGTGTGTGTGTGTGTGTGTGCATGTGTGTAAATATATCGGTAATATGGATATGGCACGTTCAATTAATAATCGCCGAACATATTACTTCCGGCCGGAAGTAAACGATCATTCCGAAAAATGTCTTACACGATAATACGTCGATTACAGATATCGATAATGCGATTAACTTAATTGACGTGAGGCTTAATTTCGTGTGTAAATTGTGAGATCCACAAATCAGTTAGGAGAGGAATGATCCGGTGACGAGGATGATCGCTAATCAGTTCCTTAAATACAATCGTTTCGATTCAAGTAGATACGAAAATTCACGTTCTACGCGTTCAGATAGCCAGGCGAGCATTCTACGTTCAACGAGAAACTCACTTTTGCGCGAACGAACGATCGAGATGAGGTCCGATGTGATCATATTATATTTGTTAATATTATCTCTCCTGTCCCATAGTCCCATAGTCGTTAAAGTGGTTTATTTATTAATAGTTATCATGTTATTATTATGTATAAATCTACCGGTTATTGCGAAAGACTTTAAAATATGTCTCGACAATATTAATAGCTACGTCTTGATGTGATCTTATCGAGTAGCTATTTAGCGAGGGTTTGCCAATATCCCCGTGACGATAAGAGTCCGTTTAACTCCTAAAGTTACCACGCTTTTTTCTCCTCTTCTCTCTCTCTCTCTCTCTCTCTCTCTCTCTCTCTCTCTCTCTCTCTTTCGCTCTCTCACTAATCTACCCTATCTAAACCCGATCGCATTCTCGCGACATCTAAGTAAAAAATAAATCATCTCTAGCTAGAGCTGTCCCTCATCTGTCTGCGTGCGTGCTTCGTTTTAATCATTGATACGCGGCCGTTTGCTGTCACAGCAAACCTCCGTATAACGACAGCTGATAGAAAAGTCTTATCACAACAACTACATTTGTACGTAAATAATGCCTGCTAAGTTCGATAATGTGGAGAGGTCATTAGCGCGTTATCATCAGGAAACGGTAATATCACACGGCGATAAAGAACGCTCGACGTTTCAGTTGTCAAATCTTCCATACATACTGACGACGAACGTAAATATTACACTCACGTTCCGATGTTCTCCTTACGATAAATTCAACTACATAACTTAAAAATGTTATGTTTTTCCCTCAATGCATATAAGATCTCGTTGGATGTAAGTGTTTGCGAAACAAGGAAAAGTAACGAGAAACGTTTCTTGCATGCATCAAGAAAAGTTTTGCACCGTTTAGACCGTTGCTGAATTATATGTCCCATCGCGTTGACTAAAAAATACGATACAATTGCGCGTAAAAGATGTGCGATATTCCGATTCTTTGTAATAAAAATTTATTTATAATATTATACGGGTTAGGCGAAAGTGAGCTTTCGTCCTCTCTCGGTGCTCCCCCGTCGTCTCTATCTTTTTTGCAACAGCGTTCCGACATGTTGCAGTGGTATTAATACGCTATCAGGTGACATACGGTATTGATCAAACTAATCCCATTCCTTTCATCCCACGTGTACGAATTATTTCTCGATAATTCGCGACATCAGGAATAAGGGCAATTTATCAGCAAAATTATTGCGTTGGCAATTTATCAGATAAGCCGCTGAGCGGGGAGAAAAGGCTCGTCAACGCCTGAGTATAAAAGCGCGAGGTAATCAAGGGCAAAACTTTTTTCGATGGGTGCAGTTATTATGGCTAATGGCTACGTCGTCTCTAATCTCGAGTATACGCGCGACCGATCGCACTTACAAGTTAATTAACACTAATGAAAGACAAATAAACATACTTCTCATCCATTTTCTGGATGGTGTCAGTCATCGATAGTGTTTTAGCTTCCAACTTTGTGATCAGTTCTGTCTTATGCTTAAGCGAGCCTTCGCACTCCTGAAACGAATACTTATTGAGTACAAGCGAAAGAGACGATTATCTCTAAGCAAACTCTCTAAGCAAACCTGGAATATTACGACAGATTATGCATATTGACTTGAAAATCATTTCCACGATAGTTAGGCATACGATAGTACGAGTTTAGTAGAATGACTTATGTACATATCAACTGCATCTTGCAATTCTGCAAGTCATGCGTAGAAATTCCGAATGTGATGTAACGTAACGTTCGATTAAACTTCCGAATCAAGGGACCAGATCTCGCAAGTTGGACTGATCAAGGTAAACGCGATGCTTAAACACTTTATAGTGTTACCAAATAATGTACATAATATACTTTCCGTTACTTCTCTTTTCCTCTAAGAATAAATTAATGTATTTCGCTAAAAAAGAAACATGCTACTGTCCGTAACGCAACAATTTTCGCCGATGATCGTTTCGTTACACCACCATAATCATGCGTGACTCGTCAACTCAACGTCGGTTAATCTCCAAGCGTGGCACTTTCGACGAAAGTCAGACGCGTAAGACCGTTCGCGTAAGGAAAGAACGCAAGTGAGAACTCGGCGAAATAAGTAAATAATTTGCACGCGCGTCTCTCCGCAGAAAGCGTGCGTGTAGAAAGAAAGGCAAATGTACGCGACACACAGCTGAGCATAGCCGCGATATATCCGAGATATGTCTCGGGAAATTAATCGCACGAGAATGGCATTTTACTCCTTCGCGTTTTGCTCGGCGATCGAGCTGTTGTTCGTAGAGATTTCGGAGCTCGAGCGGCTCTGTTTCAATTTGTCAATGGGACTTTTCGACTGCTGCTGCTCGTCGAGGGAGCGCTGATGATCGACGATCGGCCGGACGATCATGTTCTCCGCCGGCGGAGGGCAACTCTTCGGGAAAATGGGACTAGTCTTATTAAGGATCGATTTAGACACGCCACCCGGGGTGGTGGGGCTTCGTATGCCGTCGCCGTCCTTCATCAGGTGATTGTACTTCTCGAGATTGTTAAGGATCTTGCCGATTTGATTGGTCTTCGCGTGAAGACGGCTCACCATCTCGCCCTTCTGTGTCAGCTCGTGCTCACACTCCTACAAGGGAAACACGTCCAGAAACAGAGAATTTACATGCACGCTGCGCCGCGCCGCGCCATGAATCCTCCCCCCTCCGTGAGAGGGATTAACATTCCCGGCGTTATCAGCGCGCACACGAGCGAAAAATGGCAGCTTTGTGTGTGCTAATGCAACGACAGCCTCTGCATAAGGTGAAACTATTTGTTAACCGTGTGGGCACATTGCTGAAATATTTATAAATACACATTGCGGAAATATCGATAAAACGCGAGAAGACATATGAAGCGGTCACTTCTGTGCTAAGACTAAGAACAGCTTGGCTATCGAAGAACAAATCCTGCATGTGTGAGTAAAAAATCTGATAGAGTAACTGTAATATATAGTATCACGGTCATGATATAGTATACTAGTTTATACTAACAATCGTATTATGAAAAAATATTCTTTAGCAAGTATTTAGTGTCGCGTAATATCTGTGAAACAATTTACTCACGTGTTCATACAAACACTCAATTACTTCGCAATTCGACAAAGTAATTCATGTAAAATGCAAGCATGCTATATCACACGGATGATGAAACAATTAGATATTAATAGTTGCAAGTTATATCACCTGCAGCTTTTTGTACATTTCCAAGTTGATTAATTTGATATCGTCCAGTTGTCGTCTCAAAGATATTATAGTGTCTTGCTTCTCGTGTATATCCTTCTCTAACAACTTCATAGCTACTTCCATTTCGGACTTCATGCTAATCTGTATGAAGAAAAAAAAAATATAAAAGCCCCGGTCAATCCTCGTATGTGTGTCCATGTATACGCACATATATATACATATCTATATTTATATATTTTTTTCGTAAATTCATATATCACGTGAGAAAGAAAAGGTACGCTCTATTCGCACGGAAGAATAACGCTGCAAAAATACGACTCTTATCCACCTGCAATTCCAATTCTTTTTCCAGATCTTGCCGAGATTTCTTCTCAGATTCTAATCTACTTCTGAGTTCTTCCATTTCCACTGTGGTTTCTGTTATTTTAAGGGGTGCCTTCCCGTTCTGAAATCAGATCGATCCTTCAGTAATAATATAGTCCGTACGTAACACGCAACTCTCCAATGACTATGTGTGTGTGTGTGTGTGTGTGTGTGTGTGTACCTCATTCGCATCTTTAACCTCGATACCAAGTTCCTTCTTTAGCTGCCTGTTCTCCTCTTGAAGCGATAGGATATTATTCTTAGCAATAGCAAGATCTTCCTTCATGAGAGCATTCGTTGTTGTTAGAGATTCCACTTTAGCTTGGAGATTTGTCACCGTTGCGCTAAAATTACCGTGAAACACGTGAGTCTCAGGTATCGGCATCGGATTCACGCTCAAAATTCGAAGTTGATGAGATATTTACTTCAAGTGTCGATTGAGCTCCTCGATGTAGTTCTTTTGATCGAGCACGGTGGTCATGTTGTCGTTTTCGAGCTCGTCGTCTGGAGATTCGCCGGGTATATGATTACTGTTACGTAGATACAACGAAAAGTCGATTACGCCCTGCTGGCAATCGAGGTCTTCTTCCTGTCACAACAATTACGATCGATCTCGGCTTAAGCTGTTACGTCGCGTCTTCGTCGTGCACGTGCAATCACGCTTTCGCGACCACACGCGACCACACGCGGCAACAATATTAATGCAGACTAACCTTTACGCAGAAGTTGCAATCAATCACGTTTAATCCCACCAACAAACCCATCACCACGATCGCCTCCTCGCTCATCATGAGAGCGTCTGGCTCAAAGTACTCTGACAAAATATCATCCTTATGATCTATCAGAACTTTCAGATAGTCCGCTAACTTTTTTTGCATCAACGCCATACGAAGCCAAGCGCGCGCCCTACCCATAGCCGTCCTGTAAAACAGCAGTAGTTTCAGTAACAGCTGTTCCAGAAACAGGGGGTTAATGATTATCGAGATATCGGACAATTATTAAAAGCTGTTTTAAGCGTACGATGAATCGTTCGATAAATGCAAGTAACAATCAATGAACGAATACCGCTAAACCGTACGTCGACTCGAAAAAAAAAATCCCGTGCTCAACATCGATAATAAAAATCAATGTGTCCACAAGAAAATATGAAATTATGAAAAATAAGATAATACTCGAATGTCAATTCAATCTATTTATTATTTGATAACACGAAGCCATATGTTTTTTTTTTCGTAAAAAATAAAATCGTTGAACGCTAAATGAGTTAATTAAAAAAACTAAAAAAAAAACGATATGTCGATTAGTTATATAAATCCAGGGAATCCAGTACCTAACAGTAGGCAAATCACGAATGCTGGACGTAATGTCTTGCGCTTCGGAACAATATTTCTCTACAAGCTGAAGAATGTCCCAGAGCTCCTTCTTAGGTCCGAGAAGACCCTGAAAGCGAAGGCCGTTAGTACCGTTTCGCAAAAAAAATCCATCCAAATCGATCCTGCCGTCTCCACAGCGCGGCTGTTTTACCTTCTTCGGCCGTAAACCATGCCTAAGAACATGTTCGAGAACGATGAAGAAATGTTGCAACGGCATGTGATCGGAATCGAGCATGCGACCATACTTCAATGATGTTTCAATCAGCTCCTTGACGATTAGTTTGGAAATGTTAACGAGATTACTTCTCTCGATGATCACCGGGTCCCGTGCTGTAAAAACAATACGTGTCCGCTCTAACTTGCAGCAACCTTGATTAATCTCCCCCGATTAAGTCGATTAACGACTTGGAATAACGACTCCGAGTTCATAAGCTGCATAAGTCCGGAATGTAAAATACTCTTAAACCGAAACCTTGTTTTTTCGGATCATTCGATTGATACAAAAATGGCGGCGTAGCATGATGTGTGCCAAGATATCAATATATTTAGCAGTCTTATATTTTTTAAAGAAAACAAAAGATACGTAAAATATTAATGTGTATAACTATAAGCGAAGCAATATTTGCAATAGCTTTACTGTCAAAGAAATGCATTCCGCAAAAGCATACGCGTGAAAATGTGGCGAGAAAACGAGAACGCTTTTCTTTCAATACCAATAAAGCAATGCTTATTTTATAGATAATACGATTAATTACAAAGCGTTGATTTTTACCAAGCTTTACGCATCAAAACTTTATTGAGAGGTCTTAAAAATTTTATTGAAAGGTTCTACTATAAAAATCAAATTCTGCGATGCTGCGGAAAATTCAAAACTGCTGCTACGAAGCATTTGCCGATGAATCCTAAAGCTAATTTGGAGCAAGAATGTGATCCCAAGCTTAACTCCCGATTATTATCAAATAAACAAAATACTCTGGATTGCATTTCATTCATCAAGTGTCGGTCTCGAAGGCTCCGAAGGTCCCGGAGATGTGACTTCACTGTCAAGACGATATAACGATAAGACTACGTTAACCGATAAACCGAGCATCTTACTCGACCCAACGAAATCGAAAGAACTGAGGCCGAACATGAATGTGTACTCCGCTAATAAAACAAACGAGTGCGTGAACACATCGAGTTACAGACACAAGCTGGAGACGTGCTGCAATGGCAGTGAACTTGATGGCATTATATCGCGAAGCTCTCGCCGCTCGGGAAGCTGTTGTTGATGATGATGGTGATGATGGTGATGATGATGATGGTGATGATGATGATCGTGAAGGTGATTAATACCACTGAGAGCGAGCGGCGGCGACGGTGATCGTTGCATCGAATCTTGCAGCGAGAACTCGACATCCTGGAGTTCCTTCAAACAGAGCCATTCGCCATCTACCGACACCCTGAAATTGCACAGGTATATCGTGTCCTGAGCACCAGCCATGTCTTCCTCGAGCATGACCCCGCCGTGATGTACACCACCGTGATCGCCCGGCGGCCGCAGTTTCAAACCGGTCAGAGATTCTTGCCGCATAGAAGACGAATTCCTCCGCTTTCACTATCCCACAATCGATCCCGGGGATTATGCGATATCCTGCGATGGTCGTTCAGTACGCACAAGCGCAGCTGCTGAAGCTTCGCACAGACTCTCGTTTCCCCGGTCTTCAACTGCGCAGACTGACTTGAGAACTCAGGCTCGAATATCGAATGCTCTTCTTGTCGTCTTGCAGCGATGACTTCTTCGTCGATAATTGATGAATAATACGCGTCGACTCGTTCTTCCGATATATACTCGTCGTTGCCTGCGCGTCTGCTACTGTTTCCGCGTTATAGTCGAGATTTGCTACGTGCTGTGTGCGCCGAAGTATTATTCTCTTTTTGCATCGATCAGCTGATTGACAATTGCGTCGCAGTGATGAGTCACTAGGATATATAGCGTAGTCGGAGCTTACGTTGTCAGCAAATAGAAAAAAATCTTGATGTTCTTTATTCTGCCGTCTCTTCCCGTTCCCTCACTTATATGTTCAACCTCGGTGGCTGTTGCGGTGTTGTATCAACGACGAGTAGATGCGTCATCGCCTCAGGTAAGGGACGATCCAATAGAGTTGTGGTGTTCGGCGAAAAGCGGCAAATAAAATCTCAAGCTCGAGCAAAGAAGAGATGACACGCGCACCAAGTGCGACTACATCGTAATATCAACGATTGTGCGATTACTTGTTCACAGAACAGGACACGTGATCGACGATATGCACACTCCTGAAAATAGCTTGGAAATCGTACGAGCGTCGAGCGAGCAAAATTTCCCGTCGAAAATAGCGAGGGCGCCGGCGAAATGTAATATTGATTTTCCCGCCGACTTTGTCTCCATCTACGATAATCAATAAAGACGCGAAGTGTGCGCGCTACCAAGTGGTGCTGCCACCATCATTCAATGCTGCTCCATCGGTACGGCAGTGCTTCAGCAGTGCGTTTCAGCAGTGCGACGACTTATGGATGGAAGTTCTGGAGCCGTGAGGATTTTCTACACTTTTGTTTATTTATTTTCTCGATACACGGAAATCAACTGCCGGAGAACGACGCGTTTCAAGTTGCAACATTTTATTTCGACGTTACAAAGTTCGCTGCACATTTCCATAAAGTTACAACACAAACGCTATTGTAAAGTCCATCCAAACACCACTCATTAGGCAACATTCATTGATAATAAATTGATTATAAATTACGTTACGGTTAAGTCAGACTCGAATCAAAACATAAAAACGCTTGTTATTCCGCTAGAATGGCGAATGCGGCAATACAAGCGGCGATTTATGTATTCTCACGTCATAATCAAACAATTAATAACACGCGCAAATCGTGGGAGAAACAGCATTATGGGCTGCACGCGTTCCCATCAAGTACGTCACATATCACGACTGTTTTTCTTTTCTTTCATGATTTGTTGTGACAATCATGTGGCACATAAACATGTACATGTTAGAAACTGACGTAGTGCGATATCCCAAACAGAGGTGATACCACCAGTGAAGTGACAATCGTTTCGGATGCAATTGCAAGATCCATTCGAGTAAAGCTGGCTTTGTTTATTGCTTTGATACGATGATAGCAAGATTCGGCGAAACTGTACTCAACTAGCGTATCGCAAAAGTTGTTTATGAGTGCTAAGTTCGATAAATATGCAATAGTAAATGCGCAAATGGGTAAACCAGCTTAACGGGTCAATGCGGATTCAGATTAATTCTCTACGAGATAGAGAAAACACGTTTCCATAGAAATACTGATTAACGCATATTGCACGAAGAAGCTTAAGAAGAAAATATAGCGAAATGCAATGTTTGCGTCTGGGTTGAAGCCGATCTAGAGTATGTAAAGGGAGAAACGTTCCCCACGCAATGCATTTTTCAGCACCTCTTTTTGAAGTCTAGTCATCGGGTCTATGCATATTATTTGCAATTGGGTTCGTTTATGATAAATGATGTCTTTCTTTCTTTTATATTAATCTATTTCATTATTTCACCATAAGAGTTAAAATAAAAGTTAATAAAAGTTAAGTATAAAAGTTATTCTTTATACAGCCAAGATAGACACTTAACACAAAATTTGGACAACCCAATAAATATCCATCGGATAGCCAATAAGTCTCAGAGGAATTCTCCAAAGGGAGATTTTAGTATCTAAGGAATTTAGAAGTTTCCACCTGTTTAAAAACGATCGACGAGATGAATCATGTCATGTCACATTCCAAATTATTCAGTAGGACCTGAATTACTCAGTTGAACGCCCGTTTTACGACACACGTAAGTCTCACTCGCTTAGATCGCTTTGAATCAATGAGTCTCCCCAGCGGACACGCTCGTCTCGTGTGTCCCTTGAGAATCCCGAAATAATTCAGCTGTTCCGTAACTTCGGTGGCGAAGATCTGATCAGTTCAGATGCCATAAACGGCATCAAGCTATTGCCGATGAGGGAACAACGATGACGACAGACGTGTGTGCGGACACGGTACGTTCACGCACTGTTCACGCACGTTAATTGTCGCGCGCGCCAAGAGTATTCCGAGCGGACGCGGCCTTTTGAAAAGCGCGCCAGAATCGCGGGAACATGCACCTATCACACTACGTACTTACGTCTCGGCAGCCACCAAACGTCCAGCTTTCTGGGTCTGGACACTACCAGGTCCGGCCATTTGTCCTCCCGTATGGAATAACTCGACGGCGAGCGCGAGACACTTTTTTCGTTTTCGTCGGACACGAGGCTACCGGTGAGCGATTTCTCAGACTGGGATATTGGCAAACCGTCGCTACTCTCCGCGGCCATGTTTACGTTTCCACTGTCGGCTGACGGCGCACGCATTTACCGACTCGCTGGGGCAGCAATAAGTGTGTGCGGTGTGTACGTACATACGGATATCAATGTGGACGACAAACGAGTCCGCCGCGTGTCATTCTTTCTGCCGGCACGCGGTAAGGAGTCCAGTCACGCGACACGCGTACGCCTACCAAACTATGTGCGGTCGAGCTGATAATCGCTGTGGAATCTGCTGTTACACCACCGAAATTCAATTAAATGCGACCCTGAGGATGACAAGGAGCAATCTTAGGCTGCCATCAAGCGATCGATGACATTCGCTTGTCGAGAATTGCAACAGCGGGTCTCTCTGTGGCTCTGTTCCGTCTGCAAGATGCTATGATGTATCTTTATCAGCAAGAGAAAGAGAGGAAGGATCTGGAGAACTTTAAAAACAAATTGCCATGTATGTTAAATAAAACGGCTGAAACCGATGAGTATCGAGATCATCAGAAATAATATAAGGTTCTATAATAATTCTTTATTGGATTCATTCATTGGCTAAGGAAGTCGACTCGATTGCATAGTCTATCCTTACAAAACTAAGTTTAAGATTAAAATCTCGTTAAGAAATAAATTGTACCTCGAATTAACAGCAAACACTAGAAGAATAATAAAGGGAATACTAAAAGCTCTTGGGTGTACCAACAAATAAGCACAAGACGGGCTAACGACCACCCAAATTGCACGTATCTATACGCAAATATTATTCATGATATTTGCCACGGGGGAAGTTCCCGTGAATCGTAAACAAAACAATTGTCTAAACTTTATTGTTGTTACACTTTTAACTTTGGTACATAAACCTACATATCTGATTCGCAGTACGTTTTCTTTCTGTCGGACCGAATCATCGACAGCTCTTGACTCTCTCCCTGTCTTCATTCCCCCTTTCATGTCAATTTCCTTGGTTAAATTACGCAAATTTCGTCGCGAGCGTTTATCGTTAGGAGCATTCAGGTACGACCGCCTCTGGAACAGTGGTGAGGTCTGCGCACGCATCGCGTAGATCTCACCAACCTATCCTTACTTTGACGGTGGGTTGAGTAACCCACCGGCCACAGTCGAAACTCGATCTTCCGCGCCATTCAGCTTGACTTCCCTCTCTTCGCTGTGCGCCGGGGGAGGCCTAACGTTCGAATGACACCGGGTACCAGGAGCCTACCCCGATGACGAGGAATACTTGTCTTCCGAGCGTCGCGATAGCGCTTGGGCGAACTTCGTAAGACGGGTTGATGCGAAGGGTTTTCCGTTTCCGCTCGTGCTGGAAGATTGCCAGGGGAATCTTTTCTTAAGACCGCCGACCGAGCGCTTCCGCGATTTAATTAACGGACCGTTAGATAAGTGAAACAAAACGCATTAATCAAGATGTACGGGATGCTGCTGGAAAGTGTGCAATATTTCGTGCAGGTCGGTAAAGTGCTAGCGAATTGAGAATAGAGGTAAAGTTGTATATTCGGCTAACTTGGGACATGCGTGTCGTGTCTCCCTTGCACGGAATGCACGGATGTGTGCACGGAAAATAACTGTGGTGTTTATTTTTTCATTTTTCTTTTTAATTGCGATTTTGTTTCTCCTTCGTTTGCTTCGCGGTAAGTAATTCTTCTTTGTACTTAAAATCCTCGAAGTTCCACCGAGATGATTTTTAGCTTTTGATAAATTTTGTTGATAAATAACAGCTATGAAAATTTTATATTTTGATATTCTCGGATGAAGCTCGATTGACGTTTCATTGTTATAAAGTTTTGTAAATTAAGAGCCATCATAGGTCAATCGATCATTTTCGTTTTGACACCGAATACTATTCAAAGTTACTGAGAAAGTGAATGGTTGGTAAGATGGAATATCAATACATGTACATAGACATACATAGATATATACAGTGTACATAAAGATAATTTAGATAATGAAAAATATCAGGTACGCGGCAAAAAAGTGAAAATTGTCTTCCTCCAACGCGACATTATATACACGAATGTTCTCTGTAATAAGAAATTAAAATATCCAATGTATTTTGAAAAAGTTTACAAATGTCCCAAGTTAGCACACTTTCCGATATTTAATTCTGTTATTATGAATTACGTAAGTTTCGCGGGGTAATAGCGATGCAGCTGTTGCTAGAAATATCCGATCCTAGAAGTTTACGGAAGTTTGTGAATGCTGTGCTGATGAAAACACAGTGTACGCGACAACTTGTACAATTGCATTCAGAAATATCCGAGAGGTCTGTTCTCTTAATTCTCTTTCTGTCTCCTTCTCTCTCTCTCTCTCTCTCTCTCTCTTCTTTTTCTTTCTTAAATTTCTTCTCTTAAAGTTAGAGCGACTTTCTATCCGCAGTCATTCTACGCGTTGACGCTACTGAGATACGATCAATTTGTTTTTGCGTCATGGGATCACATTTATCTTTCGGCTGCGCAGATTTTAATAAATCTCATCTCAGAGCCCGTTTTCCGCTAGTTGAGTCATTAAAAAAGAAGGTATCTGATGTTGAGAAAAAAGATTTATTCACGATGGGAGAAACGTTTCGTGCTTAATTCGGGCCGCAAACGGGGTTATAAATAAAACCTAACTCGTGACAGGTTAACGAATTTCGCAGATCCAGATTAATTGCACGTTCGTTAGAACCCTCTTTAATGAACTATACGTAGCGAAAGGGACATTCAGTTACTAGATGCGTAAAAATAGCGCGGCGAATAGGTTTATTCTGTACTCTCTATCTGTGATGTATACATTTTGGACTATCTTTTGATAAAAATAACAGAACTAAATTAAATTCGTTGATTCACAGTGTGTCCAATTTCCCACGATAATGTTGAGTTTCATGACACGATTTATCAGAGTTCACTTATCAGAACTGATAATTGCGTATATTGCATATATATAGTCTGCGATTATACACGTGCACATATTATCAAGCTTTAATTGATATCGTGAATTAAGTAATTACTTAAAGTAGTGGAAATGAAACTCGATTTATATATATATATATATATATATATAATTTATTTATTTATATATATTATGATTAAAATTTGCTGTCTTAATTTTTATATTGGTCTTTTATATATGATATTAGACCGTTAATTAGTACTTCTAAAGCAAACACAACCAATTGCTGTTCAAATAGAGGGTTATATTGCTTTTATTCATAGAGTATGTAATTTGGGGAAGGATACAAATGTTGAATTTCACGACAGTCGCGCGCGCGGTAAGGTTTTAATAGACGAAACATACTTATATAATATCAATTTGATATTCATCCCCTTGCACGTGCGTTCAATTTAAAATACGCTTCGATTCGGGAAATAACCTCCATAAATATGACAGACGTATAAGAACAGACGAAATCGTTATATGTTCCCTTTTTATTTTATTCCCTTTTGAAGTTACTGAATGGAAAAAGTTATTGAATATGTCGATCACGAAATTATATATTGCGCTCATAAACTTTGTATTACTAGAACGATTTAAAAAGTTCTAAAAAGCAGCATATTTCTTTGTTTCATTACACACACATTCTTCGGCTATCCCAAATTAATCCAAGCACTTACGATGTGTGTCACGTACTCGCCGAAGGAAACGCTTCATGAGATATGTAATAAATGAGATGCTTGAATATGTATGGACTTAAAGACTTCCTCTTAGCTCGATACCTTAATTGTACGAGGTTTTAAAAATAGCATCAATCGACCATCACGTAAGGACGACTATTGATTTGTTTTTTTCATGTTCTGCTAACGTATCTTTCTTGCTTTTTCTCTTTAACATTACTCTCGATGCTAATAGTATCTTTTTCACAAAAATCAATTTATTCAGGACAACTTATCAGTTAAACCTCTAAACCTGTTTTCTTTTACGAAAAATAAAGGAGTTTTAAAACAGGTAATATGTATAACTAATTGGTCTTCCGAACACTTCTGCTCATTTGCGATATGAGTCCTAAGAGCTTTCCTCATTAAAGAACACGTATTCATTTCCATGGTCTCTTCTGTAGGAACAAAAGAAACATTTATTGACCTATAGGGACCTATAGGGGTGAATGGCTAGTATCGATTTATAATAGACCCCTAGGAAACCTATTATCCGGCACGTAATCAAGATATTGCATGGACGCTGTCCTTTAATGTGTAATATTCTATACATGCAACATGTCCCTCGTATCCGGCGTTAGGTTTTGTTCTATTCGGCTTGTTTCGATGAAATACAAGTTTCAATTTATATTTTTATATCGTAAATAATACGAATTGATACATCTATATCGCTATTAATATGACAGATTTGAGTTTATCCTCTTTCTCAAGATATCTAATCGGTAGAGAGAATATTGATATAGCGATATAAAAACGTCTCTTTACAGTTAGAATTCGGTGACGAGATATGGTGTCATATTTTGGAAAAAGCTGACTGCAAGCACATGGTTTTTAATACCAGACAGACGTACTCGGATGAACTGATGACCAATTTGGCCGCAGCTCTCGCCGCGTACACTGGCGATTCCATGGATAACATTATGCAATTTTTCGGCAGGTGCTTCGTCAGGTTTTTTAGTAATTTGGGGTAAGTTGCCTGTGTTATATGGAAAGCAGCGAAAACACAGTCTACACCGTTAAGAATTATTTGTATTACTTTCTCGGTGATCGATAGTTCTTGCCTGCGTGGGTCTCATTAATTTTGTTTTAGATAGATTCATCGCCTTAACGATCTCAGTTTTATGCGATTCTCGAAATATCATTATCTGTCGTCGGAAACATAATTGTTAAAAGTACATGCTCGGCTGTATTGATCACAAGCAAATGTGTGAATTGATATGCTATCGTGTATTGTGTCACCGACAGAGACAGGTCGCCTACTGAGCAGACTATTATTTTACTCATGCCACTGACAAATTATAAATAGTACTACATATCGCTCGCATTCATCAAACACGAATCCCTTTTAGTTACCTCGGTTGTATTAAACTTCTTTCCAACTTTCATAATCCGAATAATTATTTTATAAACATATCTGATGACGCTTTATTAAGTTAAAAATATATAGTCTCACGGTTTTAATAAGATTACGATTATACATTTATGTCGCTAAAATCGTTATATCCCGTCGAGTTAACTGATTGAGCGAAAGTTCAGATTTCTCTCTCGAAATCTGAACGCGTCAGCTCTCTGCTTTCAATTACACGCGCTTTACGAGCACGGGAGTTTGAAGCGACGAAAAAATCAACATGTAACTTCAACGTTAGTTATTTTTGAAAAGCAAAAATGCTGAGCCATGAGTCTGTGAACATATACATCTCACGGAGAATATTCGTTGATTACACTGCAATTGTTTAACCGCGCATTTCCTTGCGTAATGGAAGCAATTGCGTTTACGTAACAACAGATAAGGAAACTTGCACTTCAAACGCTTCAAACAGTTTATCTGATTAGGTATGATTGCACCGTAAAAGCGACTGGTCGTTATTTTTGCGACTTTCTGCAAAGCGTTGACAACATTCACATGCAAATGAGATTTACATATCCAAAAATGAAGAGCCCTTCCATGTACACAACACATGTAGATCCGCAGGGAGTCGTTCTGGTTTATAGAAGTACTCGGCAAGGCTTCACGCATTACCTCATGGGTAAGAATCGCCTATTCACGCAAGTCGCATAATTTATGAAAACAGTTTTGGGAATACTTCATTGATCAAAAGAAAATTGCACCTCTAAATTGAACCCGACAATGGATCCGACAGTGCACTCGACAATGAATATTAAATAACTTACAGCTTGTAAAATATCGTCGATTCTGCTCTTTCGCAGGACAATTATTTCAAATAGCAAAAGATCTGTATAATACAGAACTGGACATTAGAGTGCTGGAGACCTCGAATAATATTCCAGGATCCCGAAACGTGATGGTTAAATTCCGAATTGATTTCGATAACCGTCAGTATGTAAGTATAAACTTTTCCTATCAACTTAAATCCCTCTCAATTCCTCTCAATTAGAAAATTTACAACTGGAAAATCTCCACGATTTATTTTCACATCAAATTTCCCACCGTTATCGCGAATACGACTACTTTATAATGAATTTAACATTTAACTTTGACTACTGCAATCTGTATCTGTCACTAATCAATTATTGAAAATCACTGGATCAGATCGCTAAAAACAACCGAATGAAAACTCCGCTGGGTCGCGAACTGCCTCCAATTTCCTGCACATTTTTCCTGCGCCTTTTCCCATTTGGCGTAGTGATGAACAAGGAAATGCGAATTCTTGGGGCGGGTGATAAGTTACTCCAAGCCTGGGGTGGCACCGCGTCTATTTTAAACAAGCACGCCACGGAAATCTTCAAATTGAGAAGACCCAAAGGAATTTCCTTCACTTGGGGGAACGTGAGTAATCCCCCCCGCGAAACGGCTTTATCTTGAGAACCACATTTTTTCACTTATGATTTCGCGATACACTTAGAATACATACACATTTGCAAAGCGATAAATATGGAAAACGAGTACGCGATGAAGATGCTTATTTCTGCACTTTTAGGTAATGTATTTGCATTCGGTGATATTTGAATTAGAGCTCATCAGAGCGAACGATCACCACACCGCGATCAATTCGGGCGACGCGCCGAGCACGAGCAGTGGTTTAGACAGACGTGGTAGTCAAGGCGCACGAAGCATCCTGCTGAAAGGTCAAATGAGGTACATCGAGGATATCAAGGCGATTATATTTCTCTGTAGCCCTTTGTAAGTCCCGATGTTTGTTTTAATTGTACCTGCCACGGTGCAACAGGTTCGTGATATTTATGATCTTTTTTATCCAACAGGATCAATAGTTTGGACGAACTCCTTAATATGGGTTTGTACCTGAATGATCTGAATCCTCATGGTATGAGCAGAGAACTGGTGCTAGCAGGATGGCAGCATTGCGGAAGGTACGGCTTGCTGAGGTTCCCGGATTAGCATAGATCGTTTCATCGAAAATTTAAATTTTACTCGATTTAGATTTTAATCTAAAATTTATACATTGTGTGTGTGTACGAGGAAAAATTTTCCCGTCACATGCTTGGCCTCGCTACGTATTTGCTGTGAATTTTATTTACGATATTCGTGCTTATATTTACGTTTATGGTAAAATTTGCGAGTCTTTTATATTTTCGTTAGTCTGCTCTTCTCTGTCGCGATAATCGCAAATTCAGTTTACGTACTATTTCTCGTACATGCAATTTGTGTCATTTGCCCGAAGGCTGGAAATGATGTTCGAAAGGGCCGAGCAAAGATCGACGGAATTGGAAAACAGTTACGCACTACTGGACCGTTGGAAAAACAAGAGCGACGAGCTTTTGTACTCTATGATCCCGCAAACGGTGGCCGATCGATTGCGAGCTGGAGCCAGTCCGTTGAGCACTTGCGAGGTTGCACTTGGAAAATTCTCACCCATCTCGCCCGTGCTTGGCAATTGCTAAGGAACACCGTTGTTTGCAGTCGTTCGAGTCAATCACGGTTCTCTTTTGCGAATTATGCGACTTCGATTACTCGACCATCGAAGGAGCGATGGACATTGTGTCGTCCATGAATGCGGTTTACTCCTGCTTCGACACGCTGATGGATCAGTTCAACGTGTACAAAGTAAGACCAATAATTATCAGCATCACCCATTGAAACTTCATTTCTTGATTCACTTAACATGGATAGATGACCCTACAAAAGTGTCTTGGTTCAAATAAACAAACGATAAGTATCGTCGCCGCGCTCGTGGCTGTCGAGATAGCGCAACGGTTATTCGCCATGAAATACGATTACATTGTACGATACAGTGAGATAGTTATGTTTATTAAACGCATGTATACATTTTGCATTTACGGTTCACGGGGCGTATCTCTCGTAATAGGTGGAAACTGTGGGTCGCGTGTACATGGCAGCGAGTGGAGCGCCGGACAGAAACGAAAATCACGCGCAGAATATCGCCGATGTTTCCCTGCAGCTTATTGAGCACGTCCGATCCCTCAAATTACCCTCCGGACTCGACATACGAATCCGTATAGGTAACCGTGGCCGGTCAACTTTCAAATGAAGTTGTTGCTCGCGACTCTTGGGAATTCGCTATTCGTTCGCTCGATGCGCGCGAAAAACTTGATCTTCCCCAAGAGTCGCGATTATCGACACACGGTGTAAACCCAATTGAGAGATAACAGAGTTCCTTCCACGCTGCTAAAGGAATCCACTCCGGACCAGCGGTCGCCGGCGTGGTCGGCATCAAAGTACCGAGATACTGTTTCTTCGGAGATACCGTTAACACTGCTTCCAGAATGCAGACCACTAGCCTGGTAACCGAGTTTCTTTTTCTTTTTCTTTATGTAACGCGTTATCAAGTGTGCGTGTAATTAAAATGAATTTTTAAGTCGAAAAATTTATCGACACAATATTTATCTTCTGCTGCGTATAATTAAAATACAGATGCGACATTTATGTGATATCTAATCTCGTTTATTTCAATTTAAGTAAATGTTTTGGTAAAATTAATAACTAACATACGTCAAACTGTACAAAAAAGTTTTCTTATCACCTCTTTTATCGTATTTTACAACACAGCCGGGGAAAGTTCACATTTCTTCCAGCACCAAAGCTCTGTTACCCGAAGGTCGTTTTCGTACGGAATCACGTGGCGTTGTATGGGTTAAGGTTTGTATTATAAGAATTTTTACACAATAATTGACAATATTTTATATTATATATGATAAAATTGCATATGATTTATCGCGTAAAGGGAAAAGGAGACATGGAAACATACTGGTTGCAATGTGTGCTAAATGAGGAAGCAAAAGAAAAGGTCGACTCGTCGGACGACGAAGATGCGGTAGTCGAAGGTCTTCTAGTCACTAATATATAAGACTTACATATAGAACTCTAATATTAAAAAACAAAAAAAAAAGAAACTTCACGTAGCATAATTTTCATAAGAACCAAAATGTATATTTTATCGAAAAATCGAGTTATCAGAACTGGACTAGTATAAAATAAATAGCTACCGTCGAATATTTTCAGGCCGAGCGTTAAACAAAGTTATTTATGAGGAAAAGAAGACTTATTATTGAAACGGAAAAGCTTATTTATATGTATACATATCGTGTTTAAATCTACGTCAAAAGTCCATCTATCAATAACAAAAAATATATTTTACATTGTCATCTATTCATCGTGTAATGTGAATGGCGTTACGAGTAGGCGACATGTATGTGAGTTTTCCGACCGAAATTCCATGTCATTCAATTGAAATGAATAGAGAAAGTCCAAGGACTTTTCTCTTTTGTGCGTGCATTCTATATCATGATTCTCGATGGCGGGAAGGGAGCAAAGTGCGTGCCTTAAGTTTCAAGTACCATTGTCTGCATATAACACTCTCTCGTGTACGGTGAAAGCATAAAACACGTTACGTATTACGTGTTACGTGCACGCGTGCACGATTATTGTAGAAAAAAAAACAGTAACGACAAATAAATAATCCACATTTCACAAATAATCTTCGATCGAGCGATGCGGCACGAATTCCGTCGTCGCACGAATCATCGTCGATTAAATGTCTTGAAGTTAATTCGCGATATATTATTATTACACGTGTAATTCACATAAATAAAATAAATACGTCAGTCTGCGTACAAAAATTGTTGTTATTGACAGTAACAAGCATCCTTCGTGTTCTGGTCGATCCACGTGTTGTATCGATTCACTCTGGTATAAACTCCGGGATAGCCGGGCTTGGCGCATCCTTCGCCCCAGGATACGATTCCTGGAAAATTGAAGAATTTCTCTCCGTAAATTCGCTCAGCTCGCGTTCGCGAGCGAAGCGCTGTCGCCTTGTGCGCGAGCGTTCTTTCACATGCGGCAATTTCCCGAGCTCCGCCTGCGTCGCGCAAATTAAATAATCCGTGCAATTTACAGCTGAACTTACCGACCAGCCGGTGGATGCTATTCTCCTCCACGTGCAACGGACCGCCGCTGTCTCCCTGCAACGTGAAAGTTCACATCACCATTCTCTCGCTCAGCCTGAATTTACGATCCTAATAATTTACAATCTTACAGAGTGACTTTTCTTCCACCAACCTGACAGGAGTCCTTGCCGCCCTCGCTGTAACCGGCGCACAGCATGTTATCCGTGATCCTGCGCGACGGATAATTCATAGAACGACATTCGCCGTTCGAAATGATTGGAACGGTAACTTCCTGCAAGGTCTGCGACACCGGCCCAGCTTCTACGATAGCACCCCACCCAGTCACGATCGCTTGCGAACCGGTATAAGTTTTCCCTGAAAGCAGACAATCAATGTGTGATTCGTAAATCAGTTCGAATTGCCATCGCTTCTTCTTAACTTCAATGTGAGTTTTATTTAACTTTATATTACACAAATTTGTAAAATTTATAGAACTTGACTGCTCGACCAATTTAATCAACAATATTGAATGTGATATAATGTATTTCATTCACATTTTTATTTATAGCTTGACAAGTGTTAATTAATCTTCATGAAATCATAGTTATTAACCTGCTTCCGCAAGACACACTGGCCGCATCTTGCCCTCGAACTTGATGGGCCTCTTGAGCTTAATGAGCGCAATGTCGTTGTTGTAATTCACAGTCGAGTAACCGCTGTGTCTGATCACCTTCTCCACTTTGAACTCCTGCGTTTCGCTCTCAGTAGTCGAATTCCTATCGTGTTCTAATATCCGGATCATCATCAGTTTCGGATCGAATCTGTGAAGACGAAGAGGAATTCGATCGTTCGCGTGTGACTCGTACAGACTTATTTCGCGCTTTCGGAGACGATCTGAGATCACCATCAAGGAAGCAATCACCTGTTGATGCAGTGGGCAGCAGTTATCGCATATAACGAGTTTATGATCGAAGCACCGCAATAAAATTGTTTGTTATATGTCAACATGGCCATCCAAGAATACTGATTGACCTCGGTCTCGACTCCTCCGACGATACGATTCTGCTTACTTACCAAGCCGCAAGCTGTAAATAATGGATTAATGTCTTACTACTTTAACCTCCAACAATATTCCACCAATACAAATGATCCTTTTATGGTGTTCACTAGTGATAAGTTCAGATTTCGATATTTCTATCGCGGTTTATTTCTCGACGTCTATTGTCAGCCTGAAGATCACTTCAATCCCGTTAAGTAGCATTCAGAATTCATATTCGAGAAATGTAATGTATATATCGTAATTTTGCAACTGTGATGTAGGAGTCTCGTTAAAATGAAAATAACAAATGTCGTGGGGTAAACATTTCGAAACGCTCATATTCCTGCATTTCTCCATCGGTAATCGAGAATTGGTATTAAAGATGTAACATGAATACAAGAAAATAATAACGGCCGACTTACCGCACTTTGGACACGTTGCTTGATCTATCGGTTGCGGCGGTTCAGTGATCATCGGTGGCTTTGACACCACAGCATCGAGCAACCAGTCCAATAGTCCTTTATCATCGTCGACCGATACAGTTTTATTCGCGCTGCTCGAGATCTGCTCCTCCGCGCGTGACGTTGAGCTCGGCTGCAATTGTTATTCAAGACATTCCTCCTTTACTTACGGTCGACGGTTGCGTATGCTAAGCTGTCGCGTGTAAAACTGTACCACAAGTGTGTCTCGCGTTGCCGAAATGGAAAAATGCGCAAGAAAACGTTTTTACATTACTTATGTGTTACAAGCATCGACGGTACCTCATTGTCAACAGCGAGCGGTCTCGCGAGCGCAACGAAGATCAGTAACAATATCAACCGAATCAACATGACGCTTCGCAAGGATATCGCACTCCGAAAACACTCCGCCGCGTTTCTGTCTTGCTGAGCGCCGCGGCAAGTATTAATTCGAACTGATCCACCGCACTTCCTGCCAAGACGGCATACACTTTCACACAAACCGTCGATTCGGTGTCACGGTGTCTTTATTTATACGGAATAGCGGACAGACGGGTGGCAGGAGTGAAAATTTAGGCTAGCGGTATGCAAATTTTGCAGCGAATAAACCGCCGTCGTAAGCATACAAGAGATCCAATAAACCTACTACCGGTTCGCCAAAGATGGTGCGTCCTGTTCGTACGATCCCTCCTCCCTCTCTCTCTCTCTCTCTCTCTGTCTCCCATGATTTCTCTTTCCTCGTTATAAAAAAAGGGCAAGAGCAAACGTCCTAGTTAAAAGCAACCTGTTAGAAGTGTCACTCGCGTAAATCTCGGACAGAGACGCTGTGGGGAAAAAGTGATGTATATTGTGCGAGTATCTCTGTCTCCTTAAAATATACCCTCGTAAATTATCACAATCTGCTCGTTTTAAAACCACTTCACTGGGGATCTCGGGGAAAACGCGGAATAAAAACGAGATATTCCCTTTATTTATGTGATTATATCTATCGTTCCCCCGAGCGAAAAAGTAAATTGATATCAGTGCGAAAACACTCAACAGACAATTCGTTCTGGTCGAGATTTAATCAAGGGACGTTTTAACGCCAAGCTACCTTTCCTCCAGCGCTATTGAACGAGAAGGAACTAGAATTCTTTATATACACGAGCTTACACGCGTGCTCCAGCACATGAATATTGAGCGACACGCTATTATGGTATACGTCTGACTTTTGAGGCACCGCTGTACCAAGAGAGTTTAATGACTCCCACGGCGACTTCACATTCGACTCGCCTAAAAACACAAAAGGTGTAGCGCAAATTTCCGGCGACACGTTGCGCAAGCGCGTCACGCGTTGCAATCGCATTCACGAAATACACAAAAGTGACGACGCGCGGTGGCCGACACCTTTCTCGGAAGGGTCCTGGTCTTCACCTTCGTCGCTATTTTTACACATTCTCTTTCTCTCTGACCCGGCTTATCACGGCTGCGATTATTTCTAAGCGAACGAGATAAGATTGCGGCAAAAAGATTGTACACCAGCTGTAACCTGCGACAGTAGGTCAAGGTATATAGGTCACGAGACCCTCATGCGGGCGAGACGCATCGCCTTATTGTCTCATTGTGTGTCTAGTTTTATCAGCAGCCTTGCTTTATTTTGCGTTTGTCTTCAGGGTCAGATTGTATCTCGGCGATGTAATCTTTCCCCGTGAGTTCCTTATCACTGCTGATGCAAGGAGCAACAACGCGTAACGCGTTGGAAAGAGATCTGAAGGTGATGAAAAATAAGTGTGAAAAGTTCTTGAAGCACTAGAACTAGAATGTTTAATGATTGTATCGGGTTGGTCAGGAGACGACAGGATGAGACAGAGGAAAAAATAAAGAGAGAAAGTGAGGAATAGAAACATATTTGAACCGGAAGCACACAGCGAACCTAATTAGCGCCTCTGGCTGAAACATTCTCCGTGTCCTAACATCCCTAGCATCGCTACCCCAACATGAAGTAATGCAATTATATTCATATTATATTCATATTATGCAATTATATTAGTCTGTATTTAGCCTCATCCTATCAAAAATTTTGTAAGAAACAGCCGCCGTAATATGTTTCGTTCAGGTGTTTTTGCTACGACGCTATTTATGGCTCATCATATTATTATATTATATATATTTGGCCTAATTGACAAAATTTAAGAAAAAAAATCAGTGAGACACGATTCCAATTCCTCGGGATTCGCAGCAACGCAAGTGAAGAGCGATCGAGAAGTTAAAGTTGAACGCTTCTTCGTTCGTGATTTTTGCGATGAGCGCCTCGAGAGAGAAACACAATGCCGTTGCGCCGTCGTCCGCCTGGAGCCGCAATTTTCTCACCAAATGAAGATTACATGCGGTCCACATAATTTGCAGTGAAAGCAAGATCACCGGTGAGTTAATAAATCGTCGTTGGAAAAAGTGAAACGATGATTTCTTCCGTCCTGAAGAACGAGCGTGCGCGACTGCCAAATGGCGCGGAACCAATTCGGATTTATATACCGGGGAAATTGCGACATTTTTAATTGACGGCCTTATTGCGCGGCGGGTCGTTTCTCGCACCTTTCTCGCGCGAGCGAGCCCTTTTCAAGCGTGTTTTCCTTCCATGACGCCATCGGCAAACCTTGATAAATCGAAGGCTTTATTACTCGCCGACTCATCGCTTCTTTACGGCTGTAGTGAACAAACGGCCCAAGGAAATCGTATAAATTTTTTCCCCCGCCGTGTCGTGAGTTCGTTCTAGCTCGATGAATTTGATGGCTGAGTTACACCTCGCCGCTACGTGTCGGCACGATGGAAACCGCATCTGATATATTATTATACCAAGTGTCAACAACTTCTGAGAAGATTCCAGTAAAACATCTATGTATTGCTTGATATATATTGAAATTAACGATTTGTCCATCCGTCTTTCAAAGAAAATCTTCCACCTTGGCATTATTCATGTCGCGGAACTGTGTCATCCCCCAACAAACGTATCGCTGATGTACAAAGTAGAATTTGCGATATGTCAAATCCAACAGAAATCTGCACGTATTCGGATAATCGTTGTTTTCGACAAGTCGCGGAAACGAAGGGCTGCAAAAGCTGTTACGTGCGGTTTGCGCACAGGATCGAACTGCAAGTCCAATGAATTTCAGTCGATCGTTGCATCTCGTCGGATGGATTTTTTCGGAGCATGCGGCGACGCGCAATCTGCGCTCGCACGCGCGCAAAAAGCTCCCGCCGCGAGTCACTTTCTTCGGGTAGGACGCACTCGATCGTGCTCGATGAAAGTACGATTCGGTACCGCGAAATTCGCCGCCGTGGAAATGAGAAATTCGAGCGATGACGCCTCGCGCGTGAGGCGTGACGAGTACCGAGTGAAATCCCCTGCAATTAGCCGGCTCGTGCGAACGAGCTATCGGCGACAATGTCCCATTATCATCATCATCATCATCATCATCATCATCATCATCATCATCATCATCATTATCATTATCATTTCCATCATCATCAATAACAATACCGCCACCGCGTCCGCCGCTGCCGCCACTGCCGCCGCCGCCGCCGTCGTCGCGCCGCCATCGTCGACGTGCATCACGACAATGAACCAGAGCGGCCGCGGTAACTTTCGCGCTCGTCCGCTGACGAAATTGACATTGATCCAGTCTCAGTGGATCCCTGAAAGGAAGGATCGCCGCGGGAGAGGAGGTGTGGACCGGGTTGACATTGGAACGCGCTCGTGGTGGTCGGCGGTCGATTGCGCCATACATCGTCGGCGCTCGTACGTGCGTACACGTATGTGTGTATGCGTTGACTACAGCTCTCATTGTGCCTGTACCGACGGTGTGACTGTGTGTGTGCAGGTGAGACAACGGGCGCGTACACCGACCGAACGAACGAACGAACGAACGAACGAACGAACGAACGAACGAACGAACGAACGGGTGATTTAAAGGCTGTCACATGCAACATCTGCCAATGCAAACGCACCACTCAAGGTTGACGATCCCCACCGAGACACGCTGGGCTCCTTCATTAGTTATAATTTACTATAAAACGGCAAAACGAGCCGGGGTACCTTTAGACTTTTCACGCCACGGGCGTAGGCGCGCGCACCGGCCCGAATCTCGCGGCTACGGATACACCGGACTGGCCGAACGTGGATCACCGGAAACCGCACGCACGAGGCATGGACGGCTACGCGACGACGATGAGATGCATGCTCCTGTTCTTCCTATGTCTGAGCAGTCGCGCCTATGCGCTGCCGCGCGTGGTGAGTTGAATGATCATTATTATACGCACGTGCTCGTGAAAAAGAATAATAACAACGGCGACATGACGGTGCAGCGGAGCAGAAACTGCAGAATCTCTGTCTGAGCGTCGTCGACCATCATAATAGTGATGGTGAAACGTCGATCGAGATTCTGGGTTGTAAAATAAGTTTCGGTGTAAAGTTGGGTGTATTTGGATATTTTATTTCAACCAGTTTTTCTCAAATCGAGAACTAATGACATATATCACTATTCTTTTATTTGTTCGTTTCCCCTTCTGGTTTATATCCACTATGCGATAGAAGTAGATCGTTAACTTTATTTGAATATCCACACTTGGCACATGGGACACAACCATTAATTATCGTATTCATCGTCGCATCCGCTCCATATGCGTTGTATGACAAATTGCGTCCATAGAAAATCCGAAAATATATTCATTAACAATAATTAGCTTCATACATCACTCGAATTCTTCTCTCATTTTCCCTTTGTGTACCGAGCGGTTTTTTCAGATACCACGAAGTAACATAAGAAACATTCCTGCTTCCAATGCTCAGGTGCACTACAATATCACGAATGCCGAAGTTGACGATCATCCGGCGATAGACGAGGTGTCTTACGTTGACTTCGATGCTGCTGCACCTGCGTCCTCCTCAAGACCGGACGTCTGTGACGATTGTGGTGAGCGAATGCGTTTGAAAGACTGTACCTGATCAGAGAACGCACTTAATTAATCACGTAATTAATTAAAACATTTTTCATGGTTGTGAGACACACGTTCCAGTGTTCCAGTATTATATTTTAAAAGTTTAAAAATCATAACTACCATATATGCGTACACTTAAGAGTATGCATATTATACTGCAGTCGAGCATGAGTATCGTATGTAGTGAAATAGAAAGCGTAATAAAGTTACGAAGCCATTCGCACTCGTGAAGAACAACGTGATGACTAAGCAATCGAATTTTTTATCCGCACCACTTCGAGCGAAAACATTACAATCTGACACGCAATGTGGTGCAAGTAATCTGATTTGGCGCGGAGTCTCATTTTATCCCACGTCCGACAGATGAAGCATTCAGATGCGATTAAAAGTCACAAACGAATCTAAAAGCTCCCGTCAGTTAATCAGGCGCGAGCAATTCTGAGCGATCAACCCGGCCGCTCACGTTAGTCTAGATGCGAATCTAGATCGTTGCAAATTTACGCGATTGTGCCGATACATTGCAGTCTGCGGGGTTGGCAGAAAAACGAGGATCGTCGGCGGCAACGTGACGAGCGTCTACGAGTATCCCTGGTTAGTCAGTATGACGAAGAAAGGAATGTTTTACTGCGCCGGTAGCATAATATCACGCAAGCACGTCCTCACAGCGGCACATTGCTTAGAAGGGTATGTACTCACCGCGAATGATTGTGATCTTATGGATCTCATTCTCGCGTTACGCATCACAACGACGTTACATGTCGTCGACATGATTTCCAGATTCGACATCAAAACCATCAAGCTGGTCTTAGCGGACAACGAGCGTCCCTCTGTAGGCAGCAACGCCATAGTACGACGCATTAAATCCGCGAAAATCCACGAGAACTTCCACGCTTACACTTTCAACAATGACATCGCGATCATAGAGATGGATTATCCCGTGCCGGTGGACGGTGTCGTACGAACGGCATGTCTGCCCGAAGACAGTAAGTTATTCACGCAATGTCAGCAAGTTGATTTATCATCTCGCCCGAATTGATCGAACGTTCAATCGTCTTTCACCTTCAGGTGTCTAACACCTTCGCTTTGATCATTCTCATGGTAATTACACGGGATATTACACGGGATGTCATATGAGACGCATCAGTTAGTCTCTCTGAGATTGATTGAGAAATACACATTTGCTTTCCATATAATTGAAAAATGCGCGTTATTGTCGCAGCTGAAAATCGCTCGAAAATGTGTGAAGAAACGTGTGAATACTCACGTGATTTACACGATCTTACACGATTACGGTGTGAGACACAGAATGTCGTCCGTAGAACATATGATGCAATCTACGTAGATCATATAACGTGGACTGTACGATCTCAATTCGATACGATTGTACGATACTAAAATTCGAAAAGAAAGTACTTCTACAAACGTGACACGCGTACAAGCTTCCTGCTTCTTCGTGTGTTTATCTTCGTATGTATCGCATACTTGTGTTATCGTCTTCGCACGAGACACATCCGCGCCTCGATTATCCTATCACAGCAAAGAGGTATTGTAAAATAAGCAGTTCTTACATCGTAAACTAATCAAATTCGTCTTCGTTGCGACAGAAAAACGAATGCGTATTATTGCATGTCTATTGATAGCAACAGAATTTGATAATTCAATCTTTTTGAGTTCATAGTTCATAGATAGCAGAAAAAGCTGATTATTTGGTAAAACTGTATTACATCAGCAATATCAGGTAATCGTATTAAATACTGCGCATTAAATACTGTTCGGCGCATATCTAAATTAAAATTTCGCTTGCCACACTCGCGGACAGAAAAGTTCATCGCAATTGACTCCAATGAATTCCGCGCGATATCGCTAGGAAATAATCCACCAAAAAGAACCATGAAAAATAGATAAAAAAAATGATTGCAGAAGCCATTGATTACACAGGAGCGATAGCCACGGTGGTAGGATGGGGCAGAACGGGTGAGACGAAACCGGTTAGTGACGAATTGCGAAAAGTCAATCTACCGATCTTGTCGCAAGAGGAATGCGATCAGGCCGGATATGCAAAAAATCGCATCACGGAAAATATGTTTTGCGCCGGCTACTTGGAAGGGGAGCGCGGGGATGCTTGTTTCGTAAGTCTTCACAGGAATATGATATGTATGAACAGCTAGTACCTTTGCACGCAAAGATGCAAGTGCCCGAGTAAGGGAAAATATATAATGTACATATGTAATCACGCGACTGCGGAATTCCACTGGGAACAGTAATTCATAACATCACGCATGAATCATATAATATGAACGTTTAATAGTGCGCAGATGAATTACTTATCAGTGCATCGTCTAAAAATCGATGAGCGCGAGAAGCAATATGGTTTTATCGTCTTGGGTTTCGTAAAGATATAATGTTTATTATTTTCTTCGTCACGTGTAATTGTACATCCTTCCTTTTTTCTTACAACTGCATGTTTGTCTGTAGGGTGACAGCGGCGGTCCACTTCACGTTAAGGGAAGTAACGCACACCTGGAATTAATAGGTATTTATACGTATATGCAAAATAAAATTTTTACGTAGAATTTATCATCAATGAATGCGATAGATGGCAGAAAAAGCTGATTATTTGTTGTAAAACTGTTATTACATCAGCAATATCAGGTAATCGTATATAAATGCTGCGCATTAAATACTGTTCGGCGCATATCTAAATTAAAATTTCTATATAGAAACGAAATTCGAGCGAAAAATTCGATTATTTATATCCGTATGTTAAAACGTTAATTGACTAGTTCTTTTTAAATTTCTTTTTTTCCTTCTTCTTTTATTTCAAATAATTTTCGGAAACATATATGCCTCTGATATTTACATGTCACAGATAATAATCGCAAATTTATCAATCAACCTTACTTGGAACTTAATATATATTCTAATTATTACTAGTAACGTGTGTATATGTTCATTCAGGGATCATTTCTTGGGGACGCGGATGTGCCAGGCCAAATTTTCCAGGTATATATACTAAATTAACAAATTACATGGATTGGCTTAAGAATCACTTAGACGGCGAATGCGTTTGTCCTCCACCACATCGTCAATGAAATCAAGGTTCCTCGAGGATTATTTTATGTACGAATATAAATCATATAATATAATTAGGATGACTATGAGTGTTAAATTAGCAGTGCGTCGATCTTTTCAAAGGAATACTTTTAAAATCTTTCAAAGTTCACGTTAAATGAAAGCGCGATGCCAATATTCTTTCTAGTTGTTCCGTTATTGAATCATATTACACATAACTCATTGTAAATTCGCTTCATTAATTTATTACAGTTATCGATATATATATATATATATATATATATGTATGTATAAATCACGTCGTATACATCTAGTCCAATGTACATAATAAATACACTTATGTGCGCATTAATATATACGAATATTTTGTTAAATAAAACCAATTTATACCAACGGAAATACAATTAACTCTAACTTCACCTAACATGTTGTGTGTCGCGGAAACGTCGAAGTAAATATTATTCAAAGATTATCGTGACTTAATTAACTCATTGGCGAGCGGAAGAAGCAATCAAAAAAGAGAGAGGATGCAATTGAATGAATTATATTTAATGTTTGACAACGACTCCTTATGACGTCGCGTCCTTTCGAAGATGTGGATGATGCAAAGTTGTCGCTGACTTCATGCGTAGGTACATAATACATTCCGGGTACAACTGGTGTCATTGACACCGATGGTTTACTAGTTTTAAACGCATCCACTACGTCATTGTTACGTCAGTCGATACTTTATCATACCATTCATACCAAGAAAACATTCGGTAACATCTTCTTAGAACGATTTGTTCTACGGTAGAATGACTCCAAATATTTTGTTATATTGTTATATTCAGCGAGTTTCCAATTGTATTACATTTTATTTGCAATAATTTTTATTACAAACAATAATATCATAGCGTGTACAAACACATGAATATTCATAATCGCTAACATATTACATAAAATGATTCGATATCTATACCACACTTTTACCATACTTGTTGTACCGTTTTCTCATTTCGGAATTTGATGCTATTATGAAATAGCTGATCTTTAAGAATAGTCGCAAATTGTTATGATAATGTTACGAGTTATAAATAGTGGCTTTCGAAATGCTTTAAAATCCGAATCTATCATTTTGCGTGACATTTTTAATCATACATTTTGACAATCCCTCCCAAAGTTCAAACGGTTAACAAACCGCATAATCATGTTTTTGTATATAAGTGATAATAAAAACATATGTATGTAAATAATGAATAAATCGTGAATATATTAAGCATATTTTACGGGATAACGTTAATCTAATCAAAAGCAGCAATTTCTTTTTTTCATTTAGTTTGGTATTTGTAATACTAATACACAATAGGCTCCGATTGTGTTTCATCATGTTTCCTATGAAGTTCTTAATGTAGAATTTCCCGTACGTTGGATGACGTCAATACGTCAAGACAACATTGTGATGATCACGAAGGGAATCTCCTCTTCCGCTGCATGTTACTTCAATTATCGCTTCGGCATTTTTTCCTCGTATTTCTTACGTTACGACGCATTACCAAAATCATTGATATGTATTATTAAATTGAAAAAAATAATAATTTATCTTCATGAAGACGTCCCAATTTTATATAAAACTCGAACTTATCAATTTCGTGTTTCGTCAACATATCTCGAAAGATATTTTACTTAAGATTTATAGAATTCATTTTATATTCACTGAAAAAATTGTGGTAATTGTTAATAAACTTGCCATGCATAACAGTTATTAGGCGCTTAATTTAAGCACTATCGTGCCTCTTGAAATTTGAAATACATTAACCTTACAGGGCGATTTTGATTAAATATTTTTCATGAATACGAAATTTCCTCGAGAAGAATAAGTTAAAAATATAGAAAACTGAATAATATAAAAGACTGAAGTTTGTTTACGTAAGAACTTTTGATTCGCGAAAAATTAATTTTGCAAATCAGAAGTTCAAAAAAGATTACAATATTCGTTCAGAAGTTCCAACTACTAAGTATCAACAAAAGCATAGGTAATTGCGTCATAAAAATTTATCTGTTTAACGATTATCGCCTAATCATATTACTATAATGATAATGAGTAGTCACGAATAAATAAATATTCATCGTCAAAACAATATTTATTATAGATAGCGTTCATATGTAATTTGTCTTTGCTAAAAAATGCAACAGAATCGTAGCGAGAGAGAAACATTTTGCGAAAGATAATTGATTGTTCCTCAAACAAATACAAAACTAATATATTCCATGGAGTCGTTCATATTATGCAGCATTGTTTATCGAAATCAGCGCGTTAATGTGATATCACTACAATGTTTCAGCGCCTTCTTATTAGCTGTAGAAATAATGAGCGGCGTATGTAAATTGCGTTGTGTATGTAAATAATGCGAAATGCCAATATCAAAACGAGAAGTATGTGGTCATTTTCTTCCCCTGTGCATGTTTCTCCCCGCTGATGTAATTCTGCATGCAGGCGATCGTACAACACTGTGCTCCCTGCAATTTAAACATGCGTCATCCAGAATCTCCGCTCCGTACTATATAAACGACGGAGTGAGCTAGCACGCCATCAGTATCTCAGCATTGATATCAGAGTTGCCAAAACTATGGCGAGTCCAGTAACATACGCTTCGTCCAATGCATTGCAAAGATACAATGTATCGGCGATAGTGGACGAGTTCGCGGACGAGTTGGGAACTATGAGAGGGAAGTGCATGGACATTGGTTGCGGTCCTGGTGACATCACAAGAAATATCCTTTTGCCGGTTCTTCATCCGAAAACTACAATGATCGGTAAGGGAATCATACAAATGCAAAATACAAAATGCATTTTACTAAATTTTCCGCTCAATTCAACGATTGCTTGTCGCTTGTAGGTACAGATATTTCAGAAGACATGATCCAGTACGCTAGTAAGAAACACGGTGATAAAGCGCGAATCACGTTCAAAGTGTTGGATATTCAAACGAAATACCTTCCCAAGGAGTATATTTCCGAATTCAATCACGTGTTTTCATTCCATGCTTTACACTGGTGCAACGATATACGGTGAGAAAGATTCTCAAATAAATTAGTAATATTAAGACGAATGTGAGACGAAAATGTAGCATACATTGCAATCTGATATTTTATGTTTCCAAAATTAATTTTATTTGTCCTCTTTGTCCATTAGGCAAGCGTTTAGCAACATTTATGATATGCTTCAACCTGGTGGAACTATGCTTGTATACTTTGTAGCATTTCACGATTTATTTGCTGTTTTCGACCAACTATCTCAAAATATCCGCTATGCCCCTTACATAATGGTAAATATTTTACATTTGTATATCTTATTCGCTTATCGTGATAACAAATTATTAATTATTCGGTTCTATTTGAAATTAAAAATTACTCATTATTACCCTTATGTTTACAAAGGACATCAAGAAGCTTATTTCACCATTTCATCATTCAACCAGACCTCAGAAGGAATTGAAAGATATGCTTAGAAGTATCGGATTCCATGTTCCTCACTGCAGTCAACGGGAAACAAGTTACTTACATGTGAATTCGCACCAATTTCTGAGTAAGTACACCAGTAAAATTAATGCAAACGTGTGTGAAAAATTAAATTTTATCCGTGTCTCTGCGATTTGTATTATAAACTTTTTCTGCGCATCCCTCGCCCACATCTAAATTACGATTGTACATTAATGACTCTGATTTATTGCCGACAGATTCAATAATGGCCTTCATATCGCTTTTGAATATGCCGCAAGATGTGAAGACAGAATTTTGGGAGGAAGTTAAGAATGAGTATATGCAAAAAAAAATAATCTTTAAAAGACAACAAAATGATGAGGATCAAACGGTCATATTAGATATGTATAGAGTTTTATTAGTTTATGCGGAGAAATAAGTGTCATGTATGTAGAATTATTGCCGTATGAAATAATGCTCAACTCATTGACATCTCCGTACATTTTTGCAAGTTCATACAAAGAGATGACTACATGGCTTTAGTTTATTGTACATTAACCAAAATATCGACAAAATATCGACTTGCTTTTCTTTGTCTTATGTGCAACGATGCGACAACAATATTTTTGCGTCTTACTTATTCGCCAGCTCACTTTTGATATCTCTTCTTGTTCTCAGTCTTTATAGTTATTAGCTTGTTCCAAGAATATATGTTATAAGCATTATAAGAGCAATAATCACAAAACGTTGAGAATATAAGAAATATAATATAATACAAATATATAATACATAAGTAACAAGTGCAATCAGAGGGATAAAGACAAAAATTTGATAACGCTACATTCGACGGTCATGTTCAAATTTAGAAATAACACATAATTTATATAATCACATAGTATAAAACATATACCTAGTGTTTTATATAATTCATCACACGCATCGTATTTATGAAGTTAAATAGTAACTTATTTAAATATTATTTAAATATTAAGTTATTTATTTATTTAATAAATATAATTTATATTTTGTATCAATTAAATATGATAAAATAAAGTATTTATATATTATTCTATGACATGTATATAGTAATATGCCATACTTATCCATTTCCTCCTTTGTAATCTTTCATTTTGTAATAACAGTGATTTGTATATGCTTCGTCAAATAAATAATTTATCTACTACATTAGCACTATTACATACAAGTACGTATGTTTTAACAGACAAAGATCACGCATTTAAGCGAATTAATGGAATTATGCAAGTGCATTGCGACACGAGATACATTGAACCGCCATCGTTAATTGAAATCTTTCGTTACTGTATATTTAGGATAGGGGGCAGGGGCGGGAGTAGTAAGGGGTGAAAAATGATAATTAAAAGGGTTAAGTGATTACAAGATCAGGTCAACGAGGATCAAGTGATTAGTAAATAAAAATATCGTCTCGCTGATATCTCTCATTCGTTTCCTCTAATAAGAGTGAATATCATATCGTCGTTCACGACGCACGTGCAAGATATGACCGACTCTCCGATTATAAAATAATTACTTTCACATTATCTTTTGCAAAAAAAGAATATTTTTCAATTTAAATTATACATTGATATCCACAATCCTCATATAATGATTTAATGTCACGAGCCATAAAAATATCAATGATCATTAAAGCAGTCGTTTCTTATACTATAATCTTGCATTACGTCCAGCAAAAGAACAGCGGAAACGCAAACAACAATGATTAATACGTTGCACAAAAAGAATTATAGTAATGAAAAGTATCAGATGAATACGGCGATCCCCTAATGTTTACGCAAATGAGCAACAAGCGAAACCAGGTCAGCGATCCGAGACGTTTTGCTTTCAACGACGAATGTGGGTTAGTGAAACCTACGAAGCGTTACAAGAACTGAACGATTCTTCCCGAATTTAAGTGCGTGTAACAAATGAAGGCAATAAAAGGAGAAAAGAACTTCGTGCAGTCTCGACAATCACGAGTTAACGGTCAAATAAGTATAATATAATAGTTTGAAAATATCGGCTATTAGAAAAGTAATATAACGTAAACTCGATAGTGTTACGTTTACAAAGAAGGGAAAGTGATTCTACGTGAACCAATATGTCCGACCGCGCATTCTACCGACTTGCCGATGAACTTAGGCCGCAAAATCCTAACGGGACGCCTGATCGCGTAGGTCAATCGCGAGCTGAGAAAACTGTTAAATCACAGTAGAAAAGTACGATGTTGTATACGGCGAAAGCTCCCGTGAATGCGTACGTGCTACGAATTCTTGTGCAAAAAAAGGAAGACGCACGGCTATCCGGTCGATTCCAAATTGAAAGAATCCACCACGTTTCTAGCGTGCGTACTGAATGGGACTGGTGGTAGTGACGGTGGCAGCGCGACAGTGAAAGAAGAACTTTCTTCGCCACCATAAAGACTGGCTGGCTCCCGGTCGATCAGTTCGACTTCTTTGTGGAACCAAGGTGAAAGCACGTACACTGAGCACTGAGTGATCTTCAACGGATCATCTCGGCGCAGCCTCGTCTACGAAATTCATTCACGGTGACGAAGAGGAGGTCGGTCGGTCGGTCGGGAAACGAAATCATCGCCGAGTGTTCGTTGGAACGCACGATATATCATGCGTGTTTGCCGTGGAGTCCAGCGAAACGCGTGGTGTACGGTGATGTTCCATCGATGTGAGAGAAGAAACGTAACCGTGGTTCCTGCTCATTGAACGACACTCGCGTAGCGCGAACGAGCGAATGGGAAAATGTCGTTGCACACGTGTCGAGGTGACACCTTGATCTTGACCCTGATCGTGATCTTTCACATATCGGTGCCAGGCAGAAGCTATGAATTTCGACGGCAATCTAGTGCAATAGCGCCAGGTGGCTCTACCGTGAGTATCGACTCACTGGTTACATCGAACTGTAATGTAAGTCGCATCGAACTGTCATGTAAGAAATTCGATTTGATTTCGGAACCTGACAAAGAAATTTCAACAATATAGCTTGTTGTCACGTTTATGAGATACTAAATAACAATATATTGTGTTCGCATATTTTTAATTAAATTTAATATTTTCAATTAAACCTCTCAAAGAAACTAAGTTTAGCTTTTTAGAAGTTTATCTTTATTATTTAAAATAATGAAAGTCAATAAAAAGTTAAGTTAATTCGTTTGGCTCAACTTTCTTCGATAGAAATATTCGTCAAAAGATATGTCTCTCTTCTCCTCTCTCGTTCCTTTTGAAGAAGTTCTATAACGTGACAGTAATGTCACAGCATAGAAAACTCATAAAAAGGAAACACACAGTAATAATGCTCAACAGAGTTATATTTGACACATGATCGATCAACGTTCGACGTCACAGAAACCATTTGGTGAGCAGGAGGTGCGGCACACGAATTCCTTTATTCTGATATAAGTGACGGTCACAATCAATCATAGCATCGGCGTTAAAAGATCCATCTGAATATCGCGTGCACATAACGCTTATGCGCACGAGATATTTAGTTAGTCAATAAGTCGTGGTGGACAATTTAACCATCCAGACCTTGACCCATAATTCTGATCATGGTTACTTTCTCCTGTCGTTTATATCGTATTTACGGTGGAAAGTGAGCACACTTGCTGCACGGCGCCGATTAGTTACACATCCTTCTTTCAGGAAGCGAGTAATTCGCAAACTCGCAACGGGAGATTTTTGTTCGACGATTTATTCGGCATTGACGTCACGGGCGGTGACGCGGACGAGGAGAGGCTGAGAAATTGCACATGCGGTAACATTTTTTCTTTCGTGGAACAAATAATTTTTTCTCACACATGTGTGACGACCATTTATTATTAATCGACTGTAAAATATGAACTGTAAAAATTAATGTCTACAAAAATGAACATTTTTTTCACAAATTTGTAGCGTGTAAATTATTATCACGTGCGTCGGTATATTATAATTATTATATATAACAATCGGTAAATTATATATTTTCTTTTTATTATTCTTATTAATTGTGAAGTGACAATCGACTGATTCGTTGTTTGTTTCGTCTCGAATAAGAGAGTATCTCATGTGGCAAAATGTCAAACGGATATCTAACGCAGCATTGGTTTCAGAGTGCGGACTATCCAATCAAGAAAATCGGATTGTCGGTGGACGTCCTACTACACCGAATAGATATCCTTGGATTGCGAGAATTGTGTACGATGGTCGTTTCCACTGCGGCGCTAGTCTGCTTAACAATGATTACGTAATCACCGCTGCCCATTGCGTACGAAGGTACATATATTTATTCGTAACACACTCTACGCAACGCTAAATAAAAGTAAATGAAATAGTAATAGCAACACTGCTGCAATCGAAATTTCAAATATCTAAAGATCGAAGCCAAATATATCGCACATTAGTACTTCCGCATCACTTTAAATACACTACGTAATTTTAAACATTATAACGATGTTTCGATCGTATTGAACAAAATTCGCAAAAATTTCCAAAGATTTCAAGACACTAAACGAATCTCAACACACCAGGCTGAAGCGGTCAAAGATTCGTGTGGTACTCGGCGATTACGACCAGTATGTGAATACCGACGGGATTGCCATAATGAGAGCAGTAAGCGCCGTGATACGCCACAAGAACTTTGACATGAATTCTTACAATCACGACGTAGCGTTGCTGAGACTCCGTAAATCCGTCCAGTTCTCCAAGACAGTTCGTCCGGTCTGCCTACCTCAGCCAGGTATATCACGCGATTAACGCGGTCGATTACGCTCCACGCGATTATGCCCGCATTGTATTATCGGCGCAACGTTTCAATAGACGCCGATCCCGCCGGGAAAGAAGGAACGGTGGTGGGATGGGGCCGAACGTCGGAAGGAGGCATGCTGCCTGGGAAGGTGCAAGAGGTGCAAGTGCCGATTTACAGTTTGACACAGTGCCGGAAGATGAAATACCGAGCGAATCGGATCACCGAGAACATGATCTGCGCCGGTCGAGGCAACCAAGATTCCTGTCAAGGGGACAGCGGCGGTCCGCTTCTCGTCGTGGAAGCCGATAAACTTGAAATAGCAGGTAAACGCGCACGTATGCTGAGTGTTTGGCCAACACTGTTGAGCACCACGTAAGCAAAGTTTTCGTAGGCGGAACACTCGTACTCGGAAATGATTACTGTCTCATATACTCTTATCACATCACGCGGTAGAGAAAGAGAGACTCATACGTCACGTCGTACGTCACGTGTTCGACAGGTATCGTGTCCTGGGGTGTGGGATGCGGTAGACCCGGTTATCCTGGAGTCTATACCAGGGTATCCCGGTACCTGAAATGGATTCACGCAAACATGAGAGAAGGCTGTTTGTGCGTCAATTGAAGATTCACCTGCTTTCACCTCCTCCTTGTCTATAAAGTTTAAAGAAACGTGCCGTGATTGAAGTAACGAAACTGTTACTGTTTGGACCGGCGAAGCCATATGTTTTATATCATCCCTTACATAAAGAAAAAAAGAAGAAATTCACTTGCCATCGATCGTTTGATAATAGAGATTATCAAGCATAGTTCCTTGCATAGGCCATTGTTGATGTAAGCATTAATGTTACACCGCAGCTTGTAAAATGGACGGTGCGAGAAACACACGGTGTCTTTGTACATAGAATATTTTTCTTTTTTGTAATCGAGGTATAATTTAGAGTGCGACTATGGTTAGAATTCGCGTCGCAGGTTTCTATCACGCACGGATAGCGGTCGAACGTTTCCGGAATAATCAGCAACCGCTAACGGTTCACTGTCAAACCGGGTTGAACTCGACTCTTGCGTATATGTACTCTGTAGGCGTTTTTGTCACGCTCAATTTGTGTATAAATAGAAATAATAGGGACACGATTAATGTTAACCGGTCATTAATACGATTATATCATGTATTTTATACGATGAGAATGTAAAAGAATATTTAGAAGAATTTACATAAATTTTAAATAATGAAATATATGTACACACACGTCTTTCATCATTCTCTTCTGATATCTGCAAATTCGGCGCAAATAACAAAGTAGACACGTTTGCAATGGCGCCAGTTATAAATCGGAGAAACTTGAAATCTTAACATCGCCATTTCATCGATTCGTGAATCTTTCCATTTTTCTCTCTCTTTTTCTTTTTTAAGTACAGGTCGCTAATAATGACTATAATGCAGTTGCAAAACCTGTTTCTTCAACCGAAACTTGGTTCCAGGGAATAATTTGCCATTGACACAAGATAACGAGATTGAAACAGGTGGCTATTAATTAAGCGGCTCTACAAAAGTTTATGTCCCGTCGAACTCTATAAATTCGGAAGTGGAAATATACAAAGATCTAATGTCAGCAAGATCGTATCACATTCTCTAAAAGCAACCTGACTGTCGCGACCGTCGTTGATACGTATAGTTTGCGACTGAATTTCTGGCCGAACGGTACCGGATGACGCACCAAGTGCGTATGTGCATATAAAAAGATACAGATGAACATCCACGTACACAACCTTTCCTTATGCTGTTCTCTCCTTGCATTATGCATTCTCATCTGCATCTCGAAATGTGCGACCAGCATTTATCGATACTTCGTAAAATTATATTTTTCGTTACTTTGAAAACATTTTCAAAAAGGTTTGCTTAGAGATTATCATTTCAAGCAGCTAGTGCTTCTTGATTCTGTCACATTTGGACCTGTCAATTTACTTATTGTTCATTGTAAAAAATGTTTAATTTACAAAAATATCTTTAACATGTAATTAGCCAAAATAAATAATTTATTTGTCTTGTAATCACTGTCAGATCTGTTATTTTGTCGATGACGATTAAAGTCTTAGTAAAATTACTGCCGAATAAAAAAGTGTTCGAAGAAATTCCTCTCGAATCCTATTATTAATAGCAAGATTGGTCGAAGCAAGGATCACTATATCGGGAGGAGACTCTTAATATGATAATTTTTCGGTGTCGTCGTGGCCCTGGTCAATAACACGTGGACGGTCAATAACAGTCATCCGTGATTCGACCCTGAACATGAACATGAACTGGTCAGGTATCGGCCGGTCGTCTGTGCCCTCCTTCCCTTCCGGAATAGCAATTACCTCTTCGACCTCAGTCCTCCTCAGTCGCCGTAGGACACCAGCGATAGTCGCTCTCAGTCAGGGATATGTTCATGACCCGTTCTTGACGGTGCCACCGCGTGGCAACTCTATCACTCAAAATATTCACGAGAAATCGAATCCGAGTTAAAAGTGTGCAATTATCTGTGCTAAAAAGTTTAATTGAATCGTCGAAGGAAACATGAAGAGTTTATGCTACCTGAGTTTATTGTTTATTCTGCTGTCGATAACGGAAAAATGTCAGGTAAGAATTTTCATTCTTAATTCCTTGTATAGTTCCTTCCATTGATTTTCGCGTCTGATGTATATCATATTACTACAACATTTCATGTGAAAACGTTGGTATGGAAATTTAAACGTTAGAATTTTATAAGGAAATGTTGGAATTTTTATCGAAATGAAGATTTGTGTTACTAGCGCAACTACAGGTGAGGTATTTGCATGATGAGAAACGCAGATGTACAATTTAAATTATTTTAATATATCACCGAAGTTAAAAAAAATTACACGTAAGGAAAAATTATAACAGTGATATATCCAACAAAATCACAAATCGGACGGCACATCGTTGTAATGTTTTTTAATTTTTTTAATTTTCAATAAGAATTAGCTCGACATTATTCATGATGAAATTATCTATTTCAATAAGAAGCTACACGAAAATGCAGAAAAGTCGATTATCTCCTTGAATATTATTTTACGAATAAAACACAGTGATCGTTAAATTATATAGTCACTTTGATCTCAGGCCGGCACGTTCAGCGACAAAATGAAAAACTTTTTCGGACTTTTCGGCAATAAGCCACCTTCCTCTGACGAGCCACCTGCGCCATGCTATTGTAGTAAGTAACTGTGATATTCGTATTATCGGATTTATCTTCATCGGGAGTAGCAATTAAGTAGCCTTCGCAAAAAGAGTGTACTGTACAACAATCGATGTTATCTAGGTTGCGGGCTACGGAACGAAGAAAGTCGCATAGTCGGAGGCCAAACGACGAGTATGAATGAATTTCCATGGATGGCTAGATTATCATACCTAAACAAGTTTTATTGCGGAGGCACGCTTATAAACGATCGCTACGTGCTGACAGCCGCACACTGTGTAAAAGGGTAGATATAACATATAAATGTTTTACACATTGTGGATGGAATTGAAGATAGTATTGTATATTAATAATCTTAGCTCTATTTATTACGTGACATTCGTCACGTAATGGCTCTCTTTTAATGTTTAACAATTTTTTCCGAGCCGAAGCATTCCTCAGATCTGAACAAGTAGATTTTATTCTACACACATCGAATACTATGAGGATTATGTGTCTCTAAAATTAAATATATGTGTAAAATATATGAATGTGCAAATACATCGAAGCTAAATTTTCCACAGTCAACGAATTGGTATAACTGTATAAGCATAAAATCGCTACTCGCATGTCGGTATCATCCACTGGATACAAACAGGTCGAACTTCATATTTGCATTCTCAATTAATGCCGTGTTATAAGGAAAACGTTCGATGCCGTTAACTCTATTATGCTCAAAAAATGTCGAACGACTCTATATTAACGATTAAAAATTTGAATTGTTATTTTTAAATTAAAAATTGTCGCATGTGCCATCTCATGTCAGTTAGTATAAATTATTTAAGATTTCACTGTAGCAGTACAGCTAATGTATCTAGAAAAACTCATTATAAGTTTGTTCACGTTTTCTATGTAAGAAACTTTATTTCTCAAATCAGCATGATAGATTAATTGATAAATAAAAAAAAGAGAACAGTCGAATCAACCGATTCCTTTCCACTCATCATTTTTGATTGCTTTCTCATCGCAGTCTCTCTGCCAGGCGAATGTGATCGGTTCTTCTAGTCTTATTTTCAGATTCATGTGGTTCATGATTAAGGTCACGTTTGGGGAACACGACAGATGTATCGAGAAAGGAGCGGAAACTCGATATGTGGTGCGCATCATGACCGGTGACTTCAGCTTCCTGAATTTCGACAATGACATTGCTCTTCTCCGTCTGAATGAGAGAGTGCCATTGAGTGACACGATACGACCGATATGCTTGCCCTCAGTATTAGGTAAGTGCTGTACTTCTCCTGCACACACTTGTGACGAAATTCAATTATAGTAAATCGTGGAACTAGAAAGAAATAGTGAATAAAAAGAAAAGAAGACATGTCTTTGCTCGACGTGTATACTTTAACATATTTAATTCTATTTAAATTATTGCGATAAACTGTCGTTAGACACGCGTTCGTTGTTAACATTATCTTATACTTGAACACGTCGCCGATATACACTTTCGTCATTCTTCATGCACAATTTCAGGCCTGATCGACGTATTCAATTGGCGTGTCCGCGATCGTAAATTTTGACCGGTGCAGTTTTTCACAGTCGAGCATAATATTGGACAATACTCTGTAATGTGATCCATGACTAATTGTCGCGTTGCTCATTACGTGACGATTACACGATAGCCTTGTCATAAATCAGACGGGTATACGGGTACCTACCGTCGGGTGTAATGCACCGCTGCGGCCCATAACTGCGTAATAGAGAAGATTTCTCTGAAATCGAGGACTTAAATTTGCATTTCGAGCACGCACGCGATAATCTTTCCTGAATTTGCTAACGCGTTCGTGACGCTGCACGCTCACCAACGCTGTTTGTTTGCCGCGTGCATGTATTGGCACCGATAACGTACACAACAAACTCGTAAATATACCGTACATGCATACGATTATATCAAAGCGCACAAATAATCTAAGCGAATGTTTCACAACTAAAGAAAATATTTCATTGGCTTCTTTCTTCTCACTGTGCATTTATCCCAGGACATGACGTGAAATTACATTTCAGATACTCAGTACATAGGGACAAATGCGATCGCGTCGGGTTGGGGCACATTGCAAGAGGACGGCAAACCGTCTTGCCTCCTTCAGGAAGTGGAAGTACCGGTCATGAGTCTCCAGGAATGCCGCAACACCAGCTACAGTCCCCGAATGATTTCGGACAACATGTTGTGCGCAGGTTACCCGGAAGGAAAGAAAGACTCGTGTCAGGTAATCGATCTATCAGTCCTTTGCTCTGTTACGCGCGTAACAGAATTTAAATGTAAGATGTAATTATGATAAAAGTTGTCGCCAAGCTACAGGATGCATTAACGAGCAACGCGTAATATTATTAATATGTTATAAGTACAATATACAAAATAAAGTTATGTTTCATTTTAATTTTCGTCGCGACGCGACTTTATCGAGTTTTATTGAATACAATATATTGAATATAAATACAGCGAGCGATGCGAATGTTTTTTTTTCTTCTTTTAAATTATAGGGGGACAGTGGCGGACCTTTGATAGCAGAGCGCGAAGATAAAAAGTACGAGCTCATCGGCGTCGTGTCCTGGGGTAACGGATGCGCGCGACCTGGATATCCAGGTGTCTACACGAGAGTCACGCGGTACATGGATTGGATATTAAAGAACTCAAAGGAAGGCTGCTTCTGCGAGCAAAACTGAATGTGATTATACGGCGCCTCGTAATGGAACATACGACACAGAAGTGGAGTCTGTACGTACTGTTGTAAAATACGTTCTGAAATCGCGTCATAGTCGGTTAGCGACTCGAGCGATATTGCGCCCGATTTAAGACCGACCGACGCGTAAATTCTTTGAGTTTCTTCGTACGATATCAATTTATTATTATTATTAGGTACATTGTTATTATCTACTGTTATTTAATATCTGTTAAGTGGTAGGATATCAATCGATAAACGAATAGCTTAAAAATGACACCACCAGAAGGAATATAACGACGTTAGGTTATCGGGAAAAGGAAGTTTGTAGAAACGATAATGCACCGTACAATATTTCGGTATTGCTCAAACATAGCCAAAGGCTAAAGACAATCAAATTAGATATAGCGAGATCAAGATTGTAGACTTAAGCTACCAGTGTCATACTCTTTTTTTATAAAAAAAAATCTTTATTACTATGATACTTTTTTATATACAAAAAATACTTAATAAATATTCGCATAAAGTATCAAATGTATGTTGTCTTGATAAATTATATGATATTGAACATTCATTCCCACGACTTATTCCGTATTTTCGCATATCACAGGTATCTCGAACGAAAGTATACAGGAATTTCGTTAAAAATGTGAAATAACAAATAGAAATTATTTCTCAAATGTACATATATATAATGTCGACTTAATATAATGTCGTAATTCAATTGAGTCATTTAAAATTTTACAGTAACTGTACATTAATAACTTCAGTAAGAAATATTTCATGCAGATCATACGTGCACATATTACGAGGCGATAATATATTTGGCATTTTAAATATTTCTACAATGTCGTTCAATTATTCTTTAATGAGAATATTCTAGGAAAAACTTTATAAAAATTTTATAAAAATTATTTGTTGCGTTTCTTCAAGATGCGTACCTTATTCACAATACTAAAAGTATAATGACAATCATAAATATTGTTAGTATTAAAGGTGTTAAATCTATCCCAAGGAAGATAAATACAGAGATTTCTATCAAGCATGCGAAATTTATTCCTAAATCTCGTGCTGACGGCAGCAAAAGAATTTCGCTATACCGGGAAACGCATAACGGTACCGACGGACCGGTTACTGACTGCGTTTCAGGCCAAAATGAAACATACAAAGCAAAATGGGTATCCCAACGATGAACTCACAAATGCGAACTTGGGCGCAAATACGTGGGACGTTCGGTCTTTATTTATGATCTTGGGAGGTTCCTGGGATGCGGGCGACGATAGTACCGCTATACGAGACAAACAAGTTGCTTAAACGAGACCAGTACCGCCTCGACTACCGACAGTAAAGTCATGAAGCTACAAGACATCGTCAAATACCTCGTTTGCATCTCAGCGATAAGTTTTGGGACGACTTATTGCACCGAGCGCGTCATCAATTTTTCCGTAAGCCGCTTTACATGTTGTTTCGCGACTATAGGCTATTTTCAAAATTTTCCCCTTAGGATGGAAAAATTCTCGTTTGAAGCAAATATTTCTTTTTGCGCGGAAGATAACTGAGAAAATATTGAAAATTGCTGCTAGTATCAAAAAGAGAATCGTGAGTGTATAAAAATTTATAAATCTCTTCATTGACTAGACCGACGATTGGACTGGCCTCAGACATGAACGCAGTGTTTTGGACTTACTATTTGGAAGATTCCGGACTTGTGGCGCTTGCTGTAAGTAACTTTGACCATTCTTTCGTCGTTAAAACTACTACATTCATATGGAAGTAAGAAGATGTTGTCTTCAAAACAACAGAAAAAATTAAAAATTAAAAAATTAAAGCACAATTATGATTTAACAAATTCTATAGGTATTTATAATTTTGTATCGCAATTATCCCAATTACTCATCGTATCTTCGTCGGCGTCTTATATTTTTTTTTGCAGTATGCGGCAGAGCAAACCGTAAAGCAGCACGATTATTGGGCGGCGAAACTACGGAACCACACGAATTTCCCTGGCTCGCTAATATTTACACAAGCTCTAAATTATTAAGTAGCGGAGTTCTCATAAACGATCGCTACGTCATGACAGCAGCTAGTCCCCTCGTTGGGTTAGTATATATTGGAATTACTTCAGTCGTTATTATTGAATATCGCGGTAACTACGATCCTCGGTATTATCTCGTTATTAACTAATTCTTTGCATATTTAAAATATAACAAGTGTCTCCCTCGACAGAGCACCTGCACCCACTGTAAAAGTATGTTTGGGAGAATACGACCGATGCACATTGGACATTTCGTCGGTGAATAGTAGCGTCGAGTCCATAATTTTGCATCCAGAATTTGACCAGGATTTACACATTTATAATTTGGCTTTAATCCGCTTGAGTCGACCGACTAAATTCGAGAAGAGAATATCACCGATATGCCTACCCAATCCAGGTCTGTTCTAGTAGCAACTTTCAGTTGCTTGTGCAATCTGAAGATATAAAAGAAAAAAAGGAAGAAAGATATAAAAACTTCGCGGGGAACTATGGATATAAATCTATATTTTACATTTCAGGATCAACCTACCTTGGCCAAGTTGGCACTTTGGTAGGTTGGGCCACAAGCGAACTCAACAATACAGCTGACGCTCGAACATGCAAACCGCGAAAGATGGGACTTCCTATTTTGGGATATAACGAGTGTGTCAAGTCAGGAATAAATGCAATGACTTTCAACGATGATTACGGGTGCATAGGGATTGTAGGTACATATTCTCTGGTGTGCGAGGTAAGCAAATTATACATAAATCTTTTCATAGTTTTAAACTATATAAATCACTTTAATAGTTCACACAGGATATAACATAACAATTTCACAGTATCTTTAAACTTGCACTATTTTAAATTACCTGTACAAATTTCAACTCTCCGTTTAAATGTAATTATTTTTATACGATGTATAAATGTACCGTGAATGTACCGACAATTTATAAAATTATTCAATTATACATCACAATAAAAATATTGCTCGCTTACAGAATGACGTTGGATCTCCTTTGCAATATCGTTCATACGCTGGAATTTACGATCTTATTGGTAAGTAAAACCATTCGATAATCGCTAACTTATGCAAATAGAAAATGCCGATAACATATTAAGTTTGTAACAATGAGAAGACAAATATTTTTTTATCTAAATTTTAATCTTCCTCGCTTGACATTTGACGAGATAAATATCACTAACAAAATTTGTTGCATTACAGGTATTATTCCGAGTATAAATAAATGCGACAACACTCCTAGACCAACACTCTTCACCAGAATAGGCCCGCAACTCGATTGGATATTACAGCAAACTAAGGATGCGTGCTACTGCACAAAATAATTGATTTTGCGATAATGCTATCGGGATATTATTACATAACATTAATATTAGTCATTATTATTATATTATTATATTATTATATTATTATCGCATCGCTATGATTTAGAACAGAGCTCGGCAAAGTTTACAACTTTCGGCCGATTTTCAGAAGCTTCTATCTCCCCTTACCGCGCGGCGGATCCAGCAACTGACGGTCGCGGCTCGCAACCTCAGGACCGTTGGTAAAGAACGATAAGGGAAGATAGAAGGCGTAACTTCCGAAAATCGGTTGAAAGTTGTAAACTTTGGCGAGCTCTGATTTAAAAAGTGCCACGGAGCAAGCTTTATTGCCAAGTTACACCAAACCAAAATTTACACCAAAAGAACATTTATTTGTTTAAGATATATATATATATATATATATATATATAATAATCACTATTGTATATACATATACACACATATATATATATATATAAATATGTATATATGTATATATATATACATATATGTATGTATGTATGTGGGTGTGTGTGTGTATGTGTGTATGACAAAAAATGATTTTATATTAATATATTCAACATATAATGCTTTAAATAAAAGAATTTTTGCACCGCAAAATATAAATCGCTGCACGTTTATTTGAACATCTCGATTCAAAATTAACGATCGCATATTTAAACTGTGTAAGCTTCATTCTTACAATTTTATAATATCGAGCTTCTTTTGCGTTCTCACACGATCCATTACGTTTTAAAAAAGGACAGTTTTAACCTTGCTATCTTATCTAAGAATTATTAGCGTAAACCACGTCCGCAATTCACGGTAGTTTCCTTACGCACATGAATATCAAGCTATAAAATATCCAAGTATCGCATATATGTCAGTTCAGTGAGACACGTCTTATAGCGTAAAAGTCGCGAGTGCTCCTTCAATATTACACATGCAGTGCTTCATATTGATCAGTTTGTCGTCTCTGATACTTGGATGCGCAAACGCTTTACTGTGGAAACGAAACCGAGAGAACCAGCCAACGAACACGTTTTACGGAAATACCAATTATGGATGTGGTAAGATTTGTTTCGAATGACTAAATAATTTAATACAAGAAATAGAAAATGGAGCACGATAATAGCAGTACTGTTTCTGCTAAGTATTATCACATGCGTTTATATAAAAACTATTGATGTTAACATCAACAACGTCTGCATAAAAATGGAAACAAAACCAACAGACTATTTACAATAGTTTACATGAAAATAGTTTACATGAAAAAATAAGGTCCGGGAAAAAATGATAAAAAATGCATGAAAATTTAAGTGTAATTAACTTTCAATTGAATCGTTATAAGAACGTTACTCAAATAATTCATCAATCATGCTTTAGAATGCGGCAAGAAAAATATATTTCAACCAGAATCCAGAATAATCGGGGGACGAGAAGCTAACGAAAATGAATTTCCTTGGATGGCAGGTATCATGAGCGTTAATAGATCGTTAATGATATGCGGAGCGTCAATCATAAACGATCGTTATGTGGTAACAGCAGCCCACTGCATCCCTTATGGGTATGTATACGCTGTATAAATATTTTCCATATGTGTGTATATGTGTGTGTGTGTGTGTACTTATTCGACTTTTAAACTTCAAGACCTAACGACTGAAAATTATATTCTACAGTTTCGATAAAAATGACCTGAAAATATCTGTCGGCACTCACAGTTCGTGCAAGTGGGGTATGAGAACTACGATCTTTTCTGTTGAGGAGATCTTCCCTCATCCAAGCTATAACAGTCGAACAAACTTCGCTGATATTATGCTGGTTAAATTGGTGATGAAGATTACATTCAACCAATTTGTCAGACCAATTTGTCTGCCGAAACCTGGTAATCACTGTAATTTATCTCATAAACATATTTTTATGACAAACCTGTAACTAAACAAAATTTTTAATGATTGCTCGTAATTATATATTACATACTCATATAATATTACTTAGGATTCGACGTAGTTTCTCGATTCGGAGGGGAATCTGTATCTGCACTTGGCTGGGGATTTTCAGAAGATAACTCTTTATTTAGTAACGATTGTGGTCTACGTGTTGTTGATTTAACATTATTTACGAGATCGGAGTGTCCCACTAGTGTATCGGGTTTAATCTGCGCTGGGCATATGACAATTCCACGCGGGACTTGCGGGGTAAACAAGCAATTGCAATGACTTCTCTCTTACACTCCCTCCGTGGATCTCCCCTAATTTTTATCAATATTTTGATCGTTCGAAAATATGTGCATGAGATTAATCACGTTCGAATTCTATATAATTTAGGGCGATAGCGGCGGTCCTCTTCAGATTATAGACGAGAATTACAGACACATTTTGATAGGTTAGTAATGACACGAGTGACGTGATCGGACATAATCGGCAGAAATTAATAAAATCTGTCTCACAGGAATCACTTCAAACGGATATGTATGCGCCAATGTGAACTACCCGGATTTCTACACGGAAGTCGAGCGAATGGTCTCATGGATATTGAAAACAACAAAACGCGACTCCAAATATTGTTGGCACTGATAATCTCATAGCGAAATTTGTAAATGAATAGTTTTGGCAGCGAAATAAACGCACATCGGGCTGTTTTTTCGCGCAAACGAAATCCCCTCCTGCATGTTCTTGCGAATTTTCCGGCACTTCGACACAGATGTTGACCGTCCTTCCACGACATATCGAGCGTCTATCAGCGCTACCGCGTCGTATAAACTCAGAGCATCGTTGACCGCATTGTATCCAAAGAAACTCGTAAACTGTAATTCTCGGGTGTGTACCTGACCACCGGCGGCCATAATATGATATCTACGGAGTCGTGTCGACGTTCGTTCGTATTTGGGCCGAGGCAAGAGTACGGTGACTCGCTTCGTTCGACAAACTTGTCCGTGCAATTCGTAACACACCCATGCCGAAGATATCTCTGCCTACGTCGACGACGATAACGAACCCGTTGCAGTACGGATAGAGTTGCAACTCATTTGCCGCGAGTCGCAACTTCCATTCTGTTCACTGCTGCTCGTGAAAATCACTCGTATATGTGCAAATTCGTCTGTGGATCTGAAAGTTAGAGAGAGAAGAGGCAACTGCTGCCCGATTCTCTCCCGTTCGTGCGCAGGCTTTTAAATCGCCATCTGTCTTTTTTATACACTGACTGTGGCAACAGGCACAATTGGTTGAAGGGAGCCCTTATAGAATTTATCGTCCATATCTTCGTAATACGAGTACGTTTCCACCGTTCTCGGAGCAATATTTTACGCTTTCGCTTCCGAGGGTGAACACGCGGCAAGCGTGAAATCAGCGAACCCTACGCGAACGAGTGTAGAATTGAGAAAGAAATTCAACCGCGAAGTACGACACTCGTTAGTCGCACAAATATATCGATCAGCGCGAAATGAGCTGCAAAAGTTATCGCGCGGCGAGATCCTTCCTAAGAGCTCCCGTGAGACTATTTTTCCGTGCGCTTTGATAAGAACACGCGCTGTAAAATTTACATTCTACAGTCAATTGGCGTCACAGGGCTCAAACCTCTTTTCCTGCCGCGCTGATCTGGCCGGTGGTACAATAGAGTGCGCCGGTGATGCCGAGCGTTAATGAGAATAGCGGTTTTATAGGTACACGCTTCTCGCGTAATTAAATGCCGACGCGAGGCGATACGCAGACACGCTCGTTGTCGCTTACGAGTGCGCACGATATAGTTTAACGTGCTCGGGGTGTCGCGCCTCAGTCATCGCAGCTCGCCGTTCTCAGCAAGTGAGACCTCGCAGAAGAAGCTTACGGCGAGTATGAAGCCCCGATTGAACCTGGCTGCGATCAGCGTCCTGCTGCTGATCCTAGACGTTCGTTGAGAGAGTAATTAAACGAAATCATCACGTGGACGGGTCGATGATATAGACACAGCGCGCCGATTGTAATTGCGTTCATTTTCAGGCAGCACACGCGCGGAATCATCAGCTACTGATACGAGTGAACACGGAGTGCGGTAATGATCGAAGCGGAATTTACGCAAGTAGCCATGTGCGACGCAAAGCTCGTTCGCACGAGAATCGTGCGATCGGGCACTAATGATAATAATCCCCCTTCGATCCGGAGATACTCTTCTTTCCAATTCGACTAATTCGACGTCGACCTCGCGAAAATAGACACGTTGATTGCCACGGGGACGACCAGAGCTATAATATCACCGCGTATCATTAATTTATGTACAAAACGTAGCCGATTATAACAAATCGAATGTATATAATAGTCAATAACAAACCACAGATGTATCGTGAACTGTATTTGTCTAGCGTAATTTTGATAATCTAAAGGTTAGAAGTAATCACGAAGGAAAGAAGAAACTTTAGGTAGAGTTAGTGAAAATCATCGCAGCAGTGAAACGTATTAAGTGACTCGGAAAGCGACCAAATTGAAATGTCGCGTCCGATGAGATTTTCCGAGGGAATATCAGTGCGTCAAAGTTTTCGATAGGTCTACACAAAAGTGTGCAACGTTCGTATTAGAACGTTATACGCTTTTCTATTGGCTTTTGCCGATACGCGTGTATTGGACTTTTAATCGATTTATTCGCTCCCTTTTTGGCGACAGATTGCGGAATATCGGGAGGGATATCGAATCGTATCGTCGGCGGCACCATCACAATCCCGCACTTGTTTCCTTGGGCCGTGGCGATATTCAACAAAGATGAGTTTCACTGCGGCGGCACTTTGATCAACAATAGATATGTGCTCACAGCCGGCCATTGCGTCAGATGGTATTCCGCCTGTTCTTGCTTGCTTCAGCGACAATCGAAAGAGGCAATTACTATCGCGGAGCTTCTGAAAAAATTTTTCCGCTGCGCCGAAATAATATATTCTTTGTTCGCGAGGCGAACATACACACGTCACGTCATTGCGATGAACTATTCTGATTCCTGTACGTTTTTGCGTAGGACAAACCACGCCGACCTCTCGCTCGGCTTGGGAATGCACGACGTCGAAGGTACGGACGAGGGATTTTTAGCTCAGATCGATAAAGTGATCCTACACGAGAATTTCGAGAGCGACTATATTCACGATACGAACGACATCGCTCTGATTCGACTGCGGGATCCAGTGAAATTCGATGAAAATGTGAGACCCGCGTGCCTACCGCATAAAGGTTTGCTTTTTCATAGCCTTCTTACAGTTCGCATGTTTAATGAGCTTCAATTGACGATATTTGCTTCTCTCTTTCCCTCTCTTCTCCCTCCCTTTCTCTCTCTCTCTCTCCCCCTCCCTTCCTCTCTCTCTCTCTCTCTCTCTCTCTCTCTCTCTCTCTCTCCCCCTCTCTCTCTCTCTCTCTCTCTCTCTTCTTGTTCTTATTGTAACCTTCGTCTGAGAAAAATAAATAGGAACGCATCTTCGACAATAGGTTCCGATTATACAGGACACAATGTCCAAGTTATCGGCTGGGGACGTGTCACCACCAAAGGCGGCGCCTCTAGATTTCTGCGTCAAGCTACCCTGAAAGTTATGTCTCATGAAGCCTGCAGGAACACTTCGTTCGGCGACCATGTAACGCCATCGATGATATGTGCTTACAACGACGACACCGATGCCTGTCAGGTATTTCGACACGCTATGATCTTTTCGACACTACAATACATTTAGTATCGACGCAATCTCATTCTTCAATTCTTTTATCATAGCGTACAACATTAGAAATTCTTGTTTAATCATTTTACTATATCTTTACTATATATTTATCAGATGAAGATTGCATAAATTATATAATACATACCAAATGCAAAACGAAGAAACACGTTTACACACACGTATTGTTCGCTCGCTAAGTGTGTGGTATGTTAATGATACCTCAGAGATTTAATTTTTCATTGAAAATTTCAGGGTGACAGCGGAGGACCTCTTTTATACGGGAGACCCAACGGAAAGCACGAAGTGATCGGTGAGAATGTCTCTCGTTGAGCTTTTCTTATAGAACTTAACTCACATTGACGGCAATTTTATCTCACGTGATCCACAAACGTTTTAATCGAATCTATAAATATGTGGAATTATTTCCTCTTTCGTTCCGACAGGTGTAGTTTCCTGGGGTATTGGATGCGCCAAGCGTGGAATCCCGGGTGTTTACGTGAAGAACACGGATTACTTGAATTGGATTAGGTACAATAGTAAGGACGCGGTTTACTGCGCGGATAGCTAAACGATTAGTATGTTTTCCTGTAGCGAACATAGACAGTGAGTATAAATGAAGAAACGATCGAGTGTAATAAATCATTCACAAACTGCAACAAGAGATGAGAATTAATAAATTGGGTCGCGTACAAATGAATTAAGGCAAATACGTTGCGGTTGAAAGAAATCTGATAGGCAAGGGTAAACGGTTTTGGCCATTTGTTATTCATCGGAGCAAATGTTTCAAGCGCAATATGACTGTAATCGTTTATTCGGCTTCCGAATCAAATACAATATCTCATGCCTTGTACAACCTAACAGTTCCCTAAAGCGCGATAAGCTTAACATTATCGAGTCACGGACGAAACGTACGGCACGAGCACTTCGCTTTAGATATTAGCACGGTCCGTAACAATCGCAATTTTTTATACGTCGTTAACGGGTCAGCCACGGTAGGCGTTTTCAATCTTATTTTATCATTCGCGTTATTACTTTCGTTGTACGCTGACACTCATCGATGTCGACACAACGACAACGTTGTACGATAACACTCCGATCGTACGGCAGAACAGTCGGGCAGCTGATTAAAAAGCATAAAATATCATTGTTACTGAAACCACATAGTGCAATATTCCGAGAGAAATAGAAATTGGATGACTTTATATATATGACATCGCGGGAAGTACAACCGAGTATAAAATTCTTTCGCGAGAGAGATTTGATCTAATTCTTCCTTAATCGATCTAATTTTCTTTCGTAATTTTAATTCTTCCTTGATTATACAGATGCCTATAATTGTACTAATCAATTTTAATTAAATTATATATATATATATATATATATATACAATACAATTTCAAATTGTAAATTTATAGTAACAATAAATTAATAATAATAACATTGATGTCATAACGCGCAAAACAATGAAAATGAAAATGAAACTAAATGGCCGATATCAGTAACATATGCGATGCAGCTACATCTTCTTTTCTCACAGAATTTGCCTATATTTTGGTTAAAGACAATTTTCTAGTCCGGGAGCGACTTTCAACATTAGGTTATTTTAAATTTTCAATTCAATATTTCGGTAAGAACTGATCATTTGTTTGATTTCATCATAAGAAAGTGTCATTAGATAACAATTGGGGACTGGTACTTTGTTTCTACGACAAGCTACTATCGCGTGAATTACGAAAAAAAGAACTGGATAGAAATCGCGAAATACCTAGATGATGCCGATTATATGAAGATACATGTCTTGAATCGTGCTCAGATCATTGACGATGTCCTTGTAACGGACCACTCATTATATTACGTGACTTACAAGCCGATCACTTACTTATGGAGAGATAAATCTTACATTAAAAAGCAATTTTCGAACGATTAAAAAAAATAGATGTGCATTTAGCATTTATTAATAAAAATGTACAAGTAATTCACAGAAATTTTCGACGTTTATACATTAATTCATAAGCAACAGCTTCAGCAACAAAGTACACTTATTTTACTAATTCGAACTGTTTTCGAATTACTATGTCTCTGGGGTTCATATAAACGTACGTTTATACATGTATATATATATATATATATATATATATTCCATATTATCAGCTATTAAATCTATTATAAACTGTATGTAAAAAAATTTACAAGGTTAGCCGTGAATTTTAATTGGATACAACTGGACGGTTTTAAGTGGAAAAATAACGGTAATAATCGAGAAATATTTACATGGTAATTTATTCGATTAAATGAAATAATCGTTTATGCAAATATTCGAATAAAGATATAATTAATTTTCTCATCTAATAAATTTTGATGTATAATTAATATCATTTAACGATTCTCTTTACACAGTATAAAAGACTGAAAAAATAGAAGCAAATTTAATAATTCTTTGCGACATATAATTATTATCAATTAATATGAAACATAAAAAATATATATTCTATAAAAAAATATATAGTTGTTAAGACAAAAATGGCAAAACAGAACAAAGTGAAAATATATTTAACGAGTCGTGTAAAATGGAGTGCGATCGCGGAAACAATTATATATTGTTAAATATATACGAATAATGCGTATACTGTAAAATACATCACATATACTGTACGTATAATACTTGCACAGCACGTAAAATAGTCATCACATAAAATACACACAACACATAAAATAATCATCATATTGTGAAAGATATTAATGTCCGAAGCAAGAACGAAACGAAAACAACTTATCAGGATTTTCCGCGGTCGTATATTAAGTATATGATTCGATTCCTTTTTTCTACGGAATACATGAGATTAGTATTTTATAAAATCTATCAAACCTATACTTATTATAAGATAACCTCGCTTTCCCAAAACGCATAGTGACTTAAATCTTACAAAGACTTGTAGAGTAAACCATAGCAGGTAGACGGTACTGAAATAGTGAGACAAGTTAGTCGTTTTTTCGCCGCCTCCCTTGTGATTGTTTCCGCACGCATCACCGTTTTTATCTAAATCACGATAGCTTTTTCTTAATTTTCTATTCATGTCATTATAGGACAATCGAGACTACGTTAACAAGGTCTCGGATCGCCTGACCAGAAAGGCTCATCATAAAATCTCACAAACCTACGTTCACTAGACATGAACTAAGGAACTATCGATTTATTAAATTAATAACGTCTACAAAGAACAGTTAAACAATTTTAGATATAAATGTAGCGGCTAAATGAAAATCGTAAAACAAAATTTATTAAATAGAAACAAAATATAAATCACAAGATGCGATTAAATGAATTAATAATCATTTATGATTGGTGGATTGTCTAAAAAGTCTGTACCAGAAATTCTGTTATATTTCGCAATAGTACCATGTTCTTCTAAAGTTCCAATTCAGACTTCACACAAGCGTTATAATGAATTATAAAATATTTGATACAGCATATAACAAAATTAATTAATATTTTCTTTTTAGTATTGCGTATAATGTACTTTATATAATTCGTAAGAAACGATTTGCTTGAAAGTTACTGAATGCCACAAATATTAAACGTGAATTCTCATTATGATTTGTCTCACTTGGAAATTATAATTTTTAAATATCCGTGCGTATCTTTTCGTGCGATATTAACAACACGCTAATGGTGCGCTATTGATTGACAATACACTTGACGTTTCGTAAATAATAAGTTGTTCATTTACGTCGCAGTTTCACATGAAATAAAAGTATACTCTCTGATATTACCAAACAGTAAACCGCATGTAGCATACATTCTATAATATATACCGCGGTATATGTTATAGTATGCAGTATTCATACATTTTGATATTCCGTAAGATTGTTTGACGAAATCCTGAAGGAATCAAATAATAGTGTCATATGTATATATGTATATGCTGGAAGTATGCTTAAATATAAAATATATATTACACACCTGCAGTACTATAATACAGACATTATAAAACTTGTGATATTCTACTCGCATTAATATATGACATGGGTAACGTTGGCATTACATTGTGACGTAACGGCTTCCTCGAGTGTGCAATCCAGCTTTCGATAGTTGGCTGTGCTCGGTCGACGTCTACCGCGACTATTTCTCGATCTTCGACCTTCTAATACGATAGCAAGTATCTGAAAATACGAGACACGATTTTTACAAGTGATATTCAATTGCGAGTGTGTCAAATAAATATGCGCCAGATAAATTCACCTTCTGCTTGTTATGATAACCTATGTAACAAGCGATACACGCCACAGTAGTCACAATGAAATAAGTGAAGAAATGAGAATCACCCTCAGCCCTCATATTAGGATACCGCAAATTATTTTTCCGTTCAAACGGCTCCTGTAGATTTTCATTTTGATTCCCTGTAAACATAATTGTACAATGTTATTGCTATACAATTAATCGGTATATACAAAAAAACAACTTTGAAGTATTCTCATACCTGTCTCTATTGGTTGTTGAATCGTGTCATCAACTTCTAGAAATTACACATGTATTTATAAGATTTACGGAAAATGTCATGGATTATATGAAGAATAAAAAGAAAGAGACAGAGAGAGAGAGAGAGATTTGTTACAAATACATATCGTTTAAGAAAATAAAAGCGTAAAGTACGAAATGCATTCTGTGACAAAATCAGATTTTATATAGATTGTTTTTGAAATCTGTCTGTAAAAACTTTTACTTTTCCATTAAAATAAAGTAACATGTTGCTTATCATTGTATAAAAGCATACAATAAAATGTACAGCTTTGAATTTATTACAGCCTTGTTACATTCAAAATAGTCATTTTTCCATACTTGTCACGTGCGTTCAAAAAATTCAGTACGTAAACGTATTTATACGTATATAAATAGATAAATGTGTTTTAGCATTAACACTCTCATTAATAATACCTTCAATAGGTTCTTCGTCTTCTCCATTGCTAGCACCATAATGATCCTGTGTATTTTCGGAAAGAGTACTAGTCTTTACGTCGTCAACTTCTGGCTTCCTGTTCGTCTCTTTAGCGTTTTCTTCTTTCGCAACTTCTTTCGTATCTACATTTTCTTTACTTGGCACATTGACCGGAGTCTTTGGTGCTTCAGGATTAGTTTCAGTTTTAACATTATTAATATTTTCTTTGTCTTTGTCCTGTGAGTTATGACCTTCAGTTCTTGAAAGTATATCATTTAACATTTTCTGGGTTTCGTGTTTACTCGATTTTTCGAGATCAGATTCAGCCTTTTCAGTATTAGGTTGTGTGTGTTCATTAAATATAATGGCAGACGTATTCTTTTCTTTGTCATGCGGTTCCTTGAATTTTTTCATTTCTGTTTTCTTTTCTGTTTCCTGCAAATTAGTTTCAAGAATCTTGTCAGCAGTTACTTCTTGATCCACTGGTGCTTTCGGATTAGAAACTTCAGGTGCACGGTTCACGGCATCATGATTCGTTACCGATATCTTCGATTTTTTAATTTCATCTTCAATGCTCTTGATCCAAGCGAATACCGCGCATAATGGACGGAACTTATAATTAAGGTCGAAACATAATCTTTGACATAAGTGAGGTTTACCAAACCTTTCAGCCAGTGGTCCCCAGTGTAATTTTACTTTACTGTACAACGACGTGAATCCCTGCAGATTGTCCTTGCAGTATGTTTCCTCATTATTCCCCTCAGTCCCGAAGGACTTTTCATTGGGAACAAATTTTTCCACATTTGCATCGAATACTGCTACATGATTAAGAGGAATTTGCAAATGATCAGAGTATTGGCAAACCTTATACGCTGTATCGTAGACTCCTAAGCATAAATACTTGTCCAACGTCCCCTCTTTGTTGTCCCAAGCTTGAACGGGATAGTCCAACGATGCGCAACTGTTTGTATATTTTGACTCGTATAAAACTTTAATGCTATCGCATAATTTTTCGTCCGTCTTCATGACATCAACGATACTTTCCTTCATTGGTATACTTGTCACTACTGTGGAAAAAAAGAGTAGAACGAGGAAATTCAGCGTATAGCTAATGCAAAATAAAGGAACATTGCGATTCTCCATTATTCTCCCGTTTTCCTTTTCAAATGACTTTTAATCCTCTACCACGCGGTCTGATGAATGAGAGCAGTTTGTCGCTCTATCGGTTGACGAACATAGTTTTCGTGTTCCGTTGGCTTCAATTCTCACCGAACATTATCGCGCGAGGGAAACCAACACCTTTGTTAATTCGCCTTGCTGCAAAATGTAGTAATTTAACTATTTAACACTTTTCCCTCACATAACCTCTGTCGTATGCAGTTTCCTGTGTTTCCGAGAATACTCAATATGCCGTCACTCGCGCATGGTTGCGTCGAGTTTCTGCGATACGTCGCGCCACTCAGAGAGTAGCGTTACCTTTTCCTCATAGAGAATTTTCTCTGTCAGCTTTCTTCGGCTGTTGGCTGCCGTTATTCACTGCCAATATCTGCAGCAACGTTATTCTGTGAGTAAAACTCGCCAATTCGCTGTGATAACAAGCAGTGAATAACTAAAAGCAGCCGTTATCTTACCGATCATGTCATGTTACTCGCTATCAGTATCAGCAATAATATTCAGCATTCGTTGAGCAACAGAAATAAAATAACGTTGCTGATAGTAACAGCGAATAACTGGTTACTGCTTCGTTCAGCTCTCAGGCACCGACGATCGGTCAACGTTAGTAGTTCTCTTCCACTACCTGCTCTTTTCCGTTATTCAAGTGTGTAGTTCCAAAGTTTCCGCTACGACTCGCCACCATCTCGAGTAAGAAACACAGGTAGTAGCACAATTTAATAAGTCGAGCAAACTTTTTCCTTTTCAATTAGTATAATCAGAGAAGCTTTTCTTTACTACTATATTTCCTTTAGAAAAGAAACACTTTTTCTGCCGAGGATGTTTATAAAAGTATTGTTGAGTTTATCAATTCAAACCAATTCTTCTTTCTCCGAAGTGGAATTCGGCAGCTCTCCGAAAGATGGCACAAATATGTAGAAAGCGAGAGATTATTTCGAAAATCGAGGTAATATTATTCGACTTTTTATAAATTAATATCAAAGTTCAATAAAAAAGGTCGAGAATTAAGTTGAATTAAGTTTACCTAATAAGTAAAAATAAAATCAATGAAATTGAATACATATACCAATAAAATAAACAAGAATTAATCGCACTATGTTTTAACTTGCCACCTTCAGACCCAAGCGATCTGAAATAATATTCAACCTGGTAACCTAAAATGTAAACTACCGACCATGTCCCGTTACATTCTGCACAATCCTATTTTATATCCGGAAACATAATGGAAAAAGAACAACGTTACATCATGCGGCAACCCAAGGAACGCAAGCAGAAAGTGATCGATCTGTCGAAACAAGAAGAAACAACGCAGAGAGTCGCAGCGGTGGAAGCGAAGAGACAGAAAGTCATAAGCGAGGTGGAACTTTCTTTAAAGCGTAGACGATTTGACAGAAAAGCGATAGAAAAAGCTCGACTCGATATGGAAGAGAGCGTTCGGCAGAAGGAGATCAGAGATGCGAGAAAATTGCGCGGTGAAAGAGCGATGGTGCAGGTTACAGCGTAACCTTTACTATTTCGTTTTGCATAAATTGAATTATCCATTCACACTGAAGTTGTCTGATTGTTTTAAATAATATATATATATATATATATATATATATATATATATATATTAGATAATTGTAGAACTTCGTAATTACTGATTTCTTTAAAAAACACAATTAACATTAAAAAATATTTAATCCTCCCATCATTCCGCTCATGAAAAAATTGATATCATTATGTTAATAAGTCTAATTCATATAATATCATCAAATTATAATATCGTATATTTGCTCTAACAAAAAGAAATTGTCTCTGCGAGAGAAAAATACATAAACTATATAAAAGTATATGAGAGAAAAATATATGATAGATAAAACAAATTTCTTCGTTGTATAAACTTCTTAAGCACCTTTTCCGATGCTGTTAATAAATACAGATCCGTCAAGATCTACGCGCCATTATTGAGGTGGGTATAAAGTCCATTCAGCCGTCAGCGATTGTACCTGAGAAGATTAAATACGACGGCCGCACGACGATGACAATTAAGAACGTCAAGTACAAAATAAAAAATAATTTGCACATAGTCGGCTGGGGCAAGGAAGCCGGTATCATGAGCACGGCGCTCGAGAGGATAGTAGGCAAACAATTGAAAGAAGGATTTATAGTGGTGCCTCGCAAGTCGATCTCCACGATGTGGAGCTATCCGGAAGCGTTCCCGAAGTTGGACAGCCGTATAAACTTCGTTGAAGTCGGCATGAACGGACTGCCGGATGGCGGGACGGTCGATATCGCGCGGAAAATCGCGAATTACTGTAAACGACTGAAGAAACGCGACTTACTGATAGTCATGCTGTCGCGAGATTCCAACGATCTCCTGTGCTGCCCGCGGGACACAATTACATTGAGAGATAAGTTAAGAGTTCTCAACAGGTTAAAAGCTGCTAATGCGACTCTCGTGGAAATCAATATCGTGAGGAATAAACTTTCCGCGATAAGAGGTAAGTGGTTCAGTCAAGTGCGAGAGAATTTTATTAATCGCCGATGGAACTTTTACTAACTCGCATTTCATCCCCGCTATTCCTCCGGTGGTCTCGAGGTAATTCTGTTAGAAACGCGAACGTAATCTAACGAACAGCCTAATTCCATCGTCCTCGTGACTAAACTGTATTGCGCCGCGTCTACAACAGAAATTAATTTGCCTCAACCGTAATAACATATAATCCATATCTCGATACATAATCCATATTTTACACGCAGATTAACATACACATGGGAGAGAGAGAAAGAGAGAGATATTTAGATAAGTGTATCTATCTCTCTCTCTCTCTCTCTCTCTCTCTCTCTCTCCCTCTCTCTCTCACCTGCGTGTTCTCTCTTCTTTTCACTGGCAATAACATTACGGAGAAAAATTTGCTTTCGCTCGACCGACAGCCCGTGCCGAAACACGAGCGCGTGTCTCTCCGTGTTTCTGACGGGAACGAGCGCAAATTGCGTTAAGCCCTTCCGAAAACAAGTCTTTCCAATAATAATCGCGACACGAACGGCGGATACAATAAGAGAGAAATTTCTAGGCGGCGATCTGGCGCGTCTGGCTTATCCGGCTAAAGTCATCACCCTCTTCACGTCTGACGTGTCAGCAGAACCGCCGGAACACTTGGGAGGTGGCCCGTGCGTTTACGAGCCGAAGGACCAAGGGGCTCTGACCGTTTTGACGAGGTACAAACTTCTCGACCAAGTATCGCAGAGCATTCGCGAGGCATTAGGGGCGCCGAAGCCCGCAACGGCGGCCGACGGCCGATTGAACGAGAACGGCAGGTATAGCTTCGTGGAGCAATACGTGATCGCGTGCAACGAAGACGCGATGGAGCGCATGGCGACACAGGTCCTGAGACTGGGACTGTCCCCCATGAAATTAAAGTCCACCTGCAGCGGCACCGTCGACGAATTAGCGCAGGAATACGCGAAGATCGCGTCGCTAATGATCCTGACGGCCGAGAGGAAAATCACCAGGTTGGAGCTGTACGAGCAGATGACGGAGAGTCCGGTGTGCTCGCTGAGCGATCAGATGTGGGAGCTGTTCCTCACCGACGACAAATGGGCACTGGGGCTGTGCCTCTTGCTGGGAGGTCGGCCGGCCGTCCATCTCGATGGCGCGCATTCCGGCAAAAGCGGACCTAATCAGGAGCTCGCTCTGCGCTTCTCCTTGTATTGGTGCATGCGTACGAAGCAATATCCAATTTTGCGAGGATACACCGTCTGGTTCCTCGGAGGTAGCTCTTACGGCAGAGACGGCAATACCAGCGCAGCTGGCGCATACGGATACAAGAGCCTCGCCGAGGACGTTTACTCGGAATACGAAAAAGCGAGGAGCGCGCATAAGGCGGCACTCCGGAAATTGCGGAAGCTCGTGGAAGATAAACAGAGCGGATCGGAGATCGCGGTAAGAACTTCGCGCCTGCAATAGCCCACTTAATTTTTTATCACGGATAAAAAGTCGCAGAGCGCTGAAATACCGTGGCACCGCGCCGGGGGAAGTCGATGGCGCGTTGTCGACACGTGTAAAAAAGGAGGAGGGGGGGGGAGGGGGGAGTGAGAACTAAGGAAGGAGAGCAGATCAGGATATTGTCCGCTTTGTTTGCGTTTAATCACGGCGCGACGCAGTAATTCGCGCAAATCTGCCGCAGACGGCTCGCCGAGAGACGACGGACGCGGAGGAAACGTGCGAGAAGTACGCGACCGTTCTGCCGGAACGAGTCCTGAGGGAGGACGACAGCAACCTGTTCTTCTCGTGTATCAACGACGGCGACGAGCTGTTGCTGCCGATGAGCGAAAATGTTTATGCGGCCGTGGACGTCGGGGAGCTTCACGTAATACGAATCGTGCGCCACCAGTGTAGCTGCGTCGGCGACTGTCACGTCGACGAAAATCGGCCACGCGTCGATACAGACCGTCCTGTCAATCGCGCGTTATCGGCAATGGCGAAGCCGGTGTTGCAATATGGTGGTCGGGTCGCGACACCGGAGAGCCGTTGATTATTTACGAGGCCGTCGCGCGCTGGATTTCGCGATGGATTTTACCCTCGCTCTCGAGCGGGCTCTCGAAATTCTCACGCGGCCAGTCGATTCCTTGCTTCGGCACGCACGGACGCATCTCATTTGCCATTCGACGTGACGCGTTAAAGTTTCACGAAGCACTCGCACGAGCGTAACCGTGCGCAATAAACGCGCGAACCCAATTTCGGAGCGCGGCAGACCCGCGACGAGAGTAATGCGTGTATTGCGTGTATTTTTGTCACGAGAGAGGGAGGGGGAGAGAGGGGGAGAGAGAATGGGAATGTAACAGACAATACGTATGTACGAATCCCAGTGAATATTTTTAAACCTTGACGCGCTCCTTTCCGCTTCACGCGCGAATATTTCACCGCGGACACGATAATAAATCGTACGTTCTCCGAGCGGAAGCGAGCCATGTATTGTATCTCTATTTCGCGATTCAGAAATTTACAACGACACACGCGTCACGTGCGCCAAGATCCCGCTGTAACTCAAGCATTCTTCCGCGCTGAAACGCCGCCGTCGAAGCCGTGCTCGCTAAGAGATACTCGAGATGAGACAAATCGCACGACGAATTTGTCGCCATGCGGACGCGGACGGACGGGGAAGAACAAAGTCTTCTGTTTATCAGACGCAAATTTCTAATAACACATATCTTATCTCTCTTTTTCTGCACGCAGCTGCTTCGCACGCTATGATAACTTATTGATTTCTGTGGCCTTTCGCGGTACTGCGTAAGCGTCATCCGTTGCTGCATACAACACGGTGCCTATTCCATCGCGAGTCGTACAGATTTCCAATTAAATTGCGAGCCTTTAACATTTATTTTGCCAGATTTGATCGTCAATCATTAACGATCATTTGCCAAAAGGGCAAAGCATTCACGTCATTTTGCAACATTAATCATCTTGAACGGCGTTCAGGAAAGTTCCTTCTATATCATTTACATGCCGGTATCGATCGATACGTTACAATCACAATCACGGAACGATTGTTAAATTTCCTTCGGCAAATCTAAATCTGTCGTCGCAAGCGAAATGATTCCTATTGAACGATCAGCCGTTTGGGCGAGGAGGAACGAAACGAAAGTCCCAAGAAGCTCATTTCGCCCTTCTTTGACATAATAGAGATCTTCTAGCTCGGCATGTCCCCTGGGCTCGGTACCAATCCCGTTCAACAAAGCCCTGGGAATGGACTCACCTACCTCGACGACATGTCCGCAATATAGCGTAACTCCGAGTGCATTTTTTCTTACCGTTTTAGGTAGAGTTCCATATTCGATCTCGGTTCGATTTTAATGAAATTTTAGGCACGCAAGACACAAGATAATAAGCTTTCACGATTTCTTGCTTTTTTCTTTTATAATGATATTTTGACAGATTAGTGTTTATAATTCTATGAAACATTAATGAAGTAAAACATGTCAGCAAAATATTTTTGAATTTTAATCTTTCTTTTAGCCCCATAATTAGCTCCATAATAAGCCCATAAATAAAATGTTCATTTAGCCACATAATTAAAAATTAAATATCTCGGGAACTAGACATTTCCGTACATTCGCACCTGTAGTATTCGAATACATTTAGTATGTGCTACGTGCCTGTAAAATTCCACTAAAATCGAGCCAGGTTCGGATACAGAACTTCAGCCACCGTTTCTTCGCGACCTGGCCTAAAGTGCCTCCTGAGAACATCACTTATAGAATATAATATAAAACGTAATCATCGGATTGAAAATCGAAGTCAAGTGATATCCACTTGCCTAAAGTCATCCGAAGGATATTTCAAGATTCAGGTGAATTCTCTATATTTAATATTTCCATGTTCAATTCAAGCCAGTTCGCCCACTACCGTTCGGGAGACTGTAATTGATATCGACATCGGTGCAGCGCGCTGATAATTCCCGATATATTGGTTTATTTTACTAGCCATTACTAAATCGATTATCACTGGCAATGTAATAAATGCACATGTAATTAAATCAATCTCTCAATAGTCATTTAAATTCGTTCCACTTGTAGAACAATCTCGTTGCCAATTAATATCCTTGATCGACAGAAACATCTGAGAACTTGTCGAAATCTTAAAATATCCTTGGGCCGTCTTTAGGCAAACTTAAGATATTACTCAAGTCCGATTTTAATTGGTTGATTACGAATCCTCCATGTCCAAAAATATAACGGAAACGGTTTCAACGACTATATTAAAAGCGGCTTCGGTCTTTACATAATCAAATAAAAGCAAAAGGAGACTCGTTTAAAAAAATGACGGTCTATTTAATCGCTTACGATCGATCCGCTTCATTTTATTAATATATTTATCATGCACATTGCACAGATCCGCAGTACAAGTATATGTAAAAAGAACTCTGAGCACGACTGTAAAAAGTATCATATCTCACAATGACGCGACAGTCGAGCATAGGATGCGAACATTTTTATAGTCTTATCTCCATTCGTGACCTCACATTTACGCGTTTACGATTATGTGGGGTAACGTATAAATTTAATTCGACATCAAGATCTCTCGTAATAGTTCGTCAAATCTCTTCCGTACAGCAACATATATCTCGCAATGAAGCGTCTCGCGTTGCTCTGCATCTTCCTCATACTTGTGCAATATTCGATACAAGTGCCAAAATACGGTGAGCAAATTAATTTTTGTTTGTTTCTGGTGATCTTAGCTTTTCCTCTGATTTGAAGTGTGATACGATATACATTTTAAATCATCAGTATATATCTGAAAATTATTCCAAAGAATAAGGATTTTATTGTTTCTTTTTTCCGTGTCGGTATGTTATAAATATTATTTCAGAAAATTGCGCCAACCAAGTGCTTCCTACAGGAGAGCGGGATAGATGTGTGAAAGTGACATGCACGTCGCAGAATAAATACAACATAAAGGAGTAAGTACGACAAGTTATGTCATGCACAATTACGTATGTTTAATTAAATACTATTAAAATGTTTAAATTTAATTGTTAACGTAAAGTTAATATGTACCATGTGATTATCTATTTTAGGTGTAGCTGCGACAAAGATGCGGGTCTACATTTAGGAGATCGTCATGCCGAATATCCCGGTTGTTGTCCAAGATGCTGAAAGAAATAATAAAAAAGATATATAAAACATGTCACACACATAAGATAGACGTTCATTCGAATATATAATAAAAAAAAATTATTATTATAATTATGCGTCGAATTGTAAATAAATGTTCAATGCACGCATTTTTTAGAATAAAACTCAAGAAATATAAATCAATGGCAGAACCGCATTTTTCAGTTAATTCCATGGTAATTTAATTTCAGCGGAGCTTCGATCATACATGCACATACACACAGCCACATACACTTGCATATACACACATACACAAATGCACACAGTTGCAGCGTATTTAATGCCGATAATTCAATATTTGCATCCAAAAGTGGCCTCTCATCAAAGTTTTCCCATGTGGAAACAAATTCCAGATTGATCAAAAAATTCACGCGTTCGGTTGAAGAGAGAGTCAAAGTATAAAATAAAATTTAAAATGAAATAAGTTTTAATTGCACGGCGAGCAAGATATACAACATTGGTATTTGTGTAATGTGATATGTGCTCACATAATAACGATATCTTTGCCCGATATGCAGATGTTTGTACATAAATATTGAATTACTGGAAAATCACTGAATCGCTAAGATTATACACATGTAATCTATTTTCATATAAAAATAACTATAAATAAACTTTTTCTGCATTAATCTTTTCACATTGATCAAAATTCGTAATAATAAACAAGTAACGCGATACAAAGGGAATCGCCCTTGTGTATATTCTTTGCGCTTCGCTCGGTCTATTTACACAAGATAATCCGGTAAAACGAAACGCTTTGGATTATTGTGTACACTTCTTATCCTTGTCACACACATACAACTCCTATACACAAATACCAAAATATATACGGTTTGATATTAATCAGGCTGATCCATGTTCTCCACTTATCTGTTAAAGTCCAAAACTCTTTGACAAATTCATATTACTCTTTTGTTACATATATACATCGCGATATTCCCACAGATGCCTCATCATCGATAAATTAATAGATATTAAAAAATTCCATCTTCGTTTTTTTTCTCGAAAACAGAAAATTATTCGATGAAATGTAATACCTTTCATTTGAAAATAAGCCGTACGGTTATTCCGAATCAATCATGATATCGTGATTCTTTCAAGTAATCAGGGAAGCATCATCGCATTCTCAAAATGCATCTCAAAATATGCCGAACTCTTCCACTAAAAAATATTGCAAAAATAAAAAATGAAAAAAAGCGATTTATGTAAAAATATGAACCGCGCGTGCATTAGATCGATGCTTTACGCATCGGAGATTCGTCAAAATGCAAAATTTTATGAAGAATTGTTCTCCGGAGTATAATGGCCGGCGAAATCTTGATTAAGCATGAAGCGGAGTATATTTCACGTAGTATAGAGGCAACCAACCGAGAGGAGCCATCGCTGTACATTTGCATGTCTCTGCAGAGAAGCCACGACTAAATATGCACCGCTCGTTACTTAACCAACCGCCAAGCAGCGTCGGTGAAGCTCTGCTCTGCGACTACAGATCCACCGCGAAATTCTACCGTGCTTACACGGACTATGCCGTTCTCCGCGATTTCGTGTTGAAGCGCCTTAATTCAGAGTGGTTTGATTACTTATGACTTGACATTTATCGCATAAAATTACACGATATTTTTCCCGGGGTTCCGCACCGCCTGTTCGTTGCCTGTATCCGTTCCTCTTTTTGCAGACCGCATAGAAATCGATCTACAAATATGCTTATAGGTATGCTAATGTGGAAAGTAGTAGAAGGTAGATGGTAGTATGTAAAATGCAATGTTGTACGATCATTTCTAGCCGCAGATATCGAATATTCAAGAGAACATATCATACATGTGTAAGTGTTAAAATATAGATGATCTCTTAATTGCAAACG